CCGTAAGAGAAGTCAAATGAGAGTTTGGCCTCGTAAGAGCACTCGGTGTCTGCCCTAGCTGTGCGGTCAGTAGTGTTTCTGCCACGCTCATGTGAATGATTATGAGCAAAACGGAATGACGTTATCATGGATCTATGTTATTCTTCCTATTCAGCACCCTTCTCTGAGCAAGTAGATGACTTCAGATAACGAGTGATGTCTGCAGATAGAGTAACACCCATGACTCGAGTACCAGCAACTTCTGGAAATACACATATGCATGAATTTATGTAAAAACAGCATTTCTATAAAAATGATTTATATGTGTGTGCTTATATATGTAACATTCAACCCTTTTCCTTATAAACAGGGGATGTCGAGGCTGTACTTCTGGTGAAGGAACACACTTGAAAGTTTATCACTTGGGGTGGGAACCCATGAGGAACGTCAGCCAAAATGTTAAGTTTGCTTTTGAGATTCCTGGAGAGCCTGTAACACCCAAAACGTCTTTTGCCAGGAACCTCTGTGGGAAGGGAGAGGTGGAAGGGGAAATGAGCATTGCACATAAGGAACAAGGTCACTTCCTTTTGTGTGCTGCTAAATTAGTTAATTGTAGCTGAATCTCTTGCTCTGGAAAGAAAGAATCTGACTCAAGGATGGATTTGACTAGAATATGCATTTTAGGGGAGTATGTGGTTTGTGGGTGTTTTGTTCTCTCTTTTTTTTTCTGCTTAGAAGTTGAGGGGGAATGTGTTTTGCTGCAGCAAACCTCTTACGAGGCCTTGGTAATCATCTCATCTTTTGCCTCGGAGCAGGGAGATTTTTGTTTGCTTGGTTCTTTTTCTTACCCTGTAGTGATTTGAAAAGTGCCTGAACACCTCGTATTTATCCCCAAAATACACCTGTACATAGTAAGCAACCAGTTCCCTTTCCGTATAGTAAGTAACAGTTCCAAGATGCTCTGGAGGCTTTCTTGAAGGAACTTTAACAAATTTGCTGAAGGTGGGAGTTCGGCGCTTTCTGCAGTTTGCATCACTGTCAGGTTGTACCTCAAGGAAAGAAGCACCTAAAACTGTTAGTTGCTCGTGACAAATGGCACTTCTGCCACCGCCAGCTCATTTATTATACAGCCCAGTGATGTCCCTGTGACTGCAGGATTGTTTCCTGTGATAACAGCAGCACTTCCATCTCTTATAATTCCTGTGGTGCAGGCAAGATGAAGGATAACGGGAATGATCTAAAGGAAGAGTTGTTGGGAATGAGGAACCACAGATGATGAAGGGAAAAAGGTGCTTCTACTCCCAAGGGTGATACCAAGTGTCTTAAAACTCTAGACAACATTTTCATACATCAAAGTCAAAACTGGAATTTTTGTTCACCCTCCAACTTGATCAGGTTAAAAAGTATATTTGGACCCAACCTGACAAAACGCTAGGCTGTGTATTTTGGAGAGGCCGTGCTGTAGAAAGTGAAAGCATGTGCGTAGTTTTGGGTGTTCATGCTGCAGGGGGCCTCCGAGCATGAGCCGCTCCGTGGGAGCCGTGTGGCGGCGTGTGGCGGCCTGGGGCGCGCTCAGGGCCGGGGTGTCCCCAGAGCTCCTGCAGCAGCAGCGTGGACTTTGCTACAGGCCGTTTTCCGCTTCCCCAGCGCGTTCTGCTCGGCAGCTTCCTTGGACAAAGCACCTGGGATCGCTGAGGTGGCCAAGGTCCAACTCTGCGCTGCACTTAGATAAAATACCTTTGTGCTGTTCACGGTGCTGTGACACCTGAACAAACGCTGAATCCTTCAGGGTATGAGGCTGTTGTGGAAACTTGCTGTGTGCGTGACCACGTACTGCCAGCCTCTTGGCAAGGCTGAAGTAAACTGCACTAGTCACTATCTAGCCATTTTTTTATCCTTCCCTAGCAATATCTTCATAAAACTTTTTAAGGCTTCTTTAGAAACCAAAAAACAATCCTAATTAAAAGGATATTAAAAAGCCAATCCTAGTATTTTTGCTCTTATTTTTCTTTTTTTTTTTTTTGTAGCTGAGCTATAGACTGGTAAAGGAGAGATTTTGAAATCCCCAAAACAAAAGCTGGCCTGCAGTGCTTATGTTTCTCAAATACAACAGGCTTGTTCTGCCTGCAGTGCTAAGGCACTAGCTTGTGCTTGTGCTTGTTCATCTCATCTAATGTGCAGCGCTATTGCGTCCTGGCATTAACATACAAATCTTGTGTTGTGGGTTTTTTTTTTTTTTTTTTTTTTTTGGAAAGAAACAAAAACAGTAATTCCAAAGGTAGCACTCCTTGATTTCTGCCATCAATCCTGCTTCCCCTGCCAAAAAAAGAAAAAGGGAAACCACATTTAGAAATGCTTAAAGTGGAAGTGATATCCATTTCACTGGGAGCTGACAACAGCCTCTAACTGGCAGCAGAGGAGGAAGTCGAAAACTGAGAGCTGAGCTTGTAAGTGAAACTGCCGGCCGGGGTGACGGGGTGCAGCGCGTACGTCGTGTTCTGCTTTCTTGTTTGTTTTCCGGAAGTCAAATTCAAAAGTTAGAGTCATTTTCTTGAGGTGCAAAGCTGCTTGTTGCATTGCAGTCTAGGACATGCTTCAAGTTCTGCTTTGTGTAACTAATATTTAATCTCTTATTTGAAGGAAGGCTTCATGTTACAGTGTAAAGATCCCGTGAAATTGTTGACTTGTCGTTTGACAAATTACTGCAGACGGTAACTAGGCTCTGAGCCTCAACATTGCTCTTTATTAATCTGCAAATGGGAATAATATCAGTGAAAGGGACCCATGCCAGCTAGGAGCAGTGATGGCTGAGGTCAGGACTGTGTCTTCTCCTCATCTCCTGGGGCTGTCTATACGTGCCAGGGGACTGGCCAGCTCTTATTTTTTGTTTTATGTAAGGATGATAAGACAGCATGGAAATCAGAAGTGCTTCATTGTGGGGTTTTACTCCAAACTGCAAGAATTTGCTAAGCTAAAGTTGTTCTGCGCAGTGTAATAGCTGTGCAGTCTAACCTAGGGGAACTAGGTAAGGATGAGAAAATTATGTTCCTGGTGAAGCTTTAATTAATGCTTATGAAGTTACTTTAGGGATTTTTGATGAAGTCTCACAGGTAATAAATATGTGATGTAATCTTACCTTCTTCCTGCCTTCCTGCAGAAACTGTTCATTATTCTGAATCTTTTAGCATCAAATTTGGCTCTTCATTTTATGTTTTGTACTAACAGCAGAAATGAGACTACAGGTAATGGAGACCCTTTAAACAGAATTGCTTTTTAAAAATCCTTTTGTTTTATAGATATGATGTTCTTATGATGTCGTTAGAGGCTAACTAAATTTTTTTTAGTGTTCCTTGCATAGGGAGATATGTGTTTATCCAACTGTGTGTGAAGATGTTTGCCTGTGGAGCAGGAGCCAGTGACAAAGTTTAGTCTGAAATATTCTGGTAATTTTTGAAAGTGAACAAGCAGACTTTATGCAGCAAATTTGTTTTAATTTTTACCTTTTTTGATTTTATCTTCCCTTTCTTGTGTTATGTAGTTTAATTTTTTATATCAACATGGAAATAGAAAAATAAAAAAAATAAAGAAACATGGATAGTATGCACTCTTAAAAAAAAAAAAAAGTGACATCCGTAGCTTGCAGTGGAGTCACACTGAGACCCTTTGCTGAGACCCTTTTTAATGTGTTGGTGCTTTGCGGGCAGGTCTGTTTTTCCGTGTGACTCGTGCTGGAGGGGGGTGTGCAAGGATGCAGAACCAAGGAGGAATTAAGCTGTCCTTCTGGAGCAACTGCCTTTAGTTTGAAAGCATCCAGGTGCTGTTTGAGGTGATAAAATGCCTCCTTTACATGGAAGGCATTGAAGCCTTTTCTGTTAACTTCCTAGAGGCTTCCACGGATGGATAGAGAGTGCTGAGTGAGTATTTTAAGAGGAAAAATTGCCGTTCTGAGCGGAAAGGGAAAATCTGTACATTGAGGCAGCACCTCATTACGTCTCTTGGCTACAAAAAGTGTCGTGTAGGCGAAGGCTGCAGCCCTCTTTGCTATGGATGTCCACAGTTTTGTGAGAAACGTGCCCCCGCTGTGACCAAGGTCTGTCGCACGTCAGGGGAAAAAAAAAACCTTTTTGGAGAGGGTAGAAATGTGGGTGCTTGGTGAGAGGGCAGGGCAAGGAGCATCGCAGCAGGGCTCGGCTGACCCTGCTAGCGCTGATGCCAAGAAGCTTAAATTCGCTGTATTAGATGCAGAAAAAATCCCTTCCTTACTGAATTTCAAGATCTCTGTGCCTGTGTGAGGAGAGTGGCGAGAGTGACCAGTAAGGGCAGCTGCTTTCTACTCAGCCTCTTCCATGGCCTGATGAATGAACTGTGATGGATGGTTTTGGAGAAGCCTGAGGGAAGGAGGATGCCCAAGCTGGGCAGAATACGAGGGGGATTTCAGCAATAGAATTGGCTGCCGGAATAGAAAGAGGTGACTATGGAGGACAGGGGGAAGTGAGGAGGTTTTAATTATGCCTCAAGAATTCGGGTCAGCAGAAGAAAAGTCAAAAATAGCTTGTGACAGGGGAAGAGAGAAGCCGTGGTAGAAAAGACAGAGTGACATAAGTAGAACACTTGTAAGTGATACGGTTTCACGGGGACTTCTGTAGAAAGTTTATTTCGTGTTCTGCTTTCCAAGCGCATACCTGCTAGCCTGCTTGCTTAAGTGCCCCATAAAACATGGTAGATGCATATCTGATAGGCAACGTATATAAGTTATGATGTAATTAATGTCTGTGAAAAGGAATATGCTTGCTTAGTTATAGGAGGGAACCAGTTCCCTTCAGCTCTTCCACTAGCTCACCAGGCCACAGAGACTAGAAGAAGGAACATTAATTCTTATTTTATCCCAGAAGGATAGGACGGCTCTATTAACATCTGAAACATGCCTTGGGACAAGTCAGCTATCTCCATTTATTTCACTTTTAACCAAAATTTTGACTCAGTACAGATTTAATTACCATATCTCTCTTTTTTTTCCAGTTACCATTTCTTCAACTGCAGAAAAAGGTAAAATGTTTTATTTTTTTATTTTTTTAATATTTAAATAATTTTGTTATATACTAGTATAGGTTATATATTCCTTTATGTGCACGATCTGTGTAGTGAATATATTGGCACTAGGAGACCAGGTGAATATTGTGAGTCCTAGTCTGCTGAATGTTTAGTACCACAAGGTTGAGATGGTGACAAGACCTGTGAGTAATGTAACCATGATTTAGGTTTGCAAATATTTTTAAATAGGTTAAGTCTTAGTGTTTAAATACTACCCTCTAAGAAGAGGAAAGGAGAACACAGAGAGAATTGCAGCAGATACATAAGATCATTTTATATTTATTTGTCAAGGGATGTTGAATATTGTTCTCACCTCCTCACATCGTTCAACCTGAACCCCTTTGGAAGAGTTATGGTTCTACTGCTTGCAGTTTTTCAAAGAGTTTACCAAATTCTGCAAAACGCCATTCTTCACCTTTGGTTATAACTGTGCATAACCATGTAATTTCAAATGTGACCATACATTTTAACTCTAAGTGTCCGGATGAAGTGGTTACAGCCCTGTATTGACAAATTCTGCTTGAGTCTTAATATTGCCTTTGGCAGATACATGAAATAGAGAGTACTATTTACAGAAGTATAAATTGACTAAAGAAATTCCACATTTCTTGATCTGCCACTTTGTTGTGAACAAAAGCTAGACCAAAGGATCATTCCATTCCGGTTCAAATTTTATTTCTATAAAGCTCTGGCTTTTTTTTTTTTTCTTTTTTAACAGAAACACAGAATGACCAACAGGACTTTTGTTTGAGAGCTCACTTTAATTTATGGTGCGTGGACTTGAGTCGTTGTCTCTTACTATTTTGTAAGTTTGCTCTTCCACCATCCACTCTAAAGACACAGTTACTGTCTTTAGAGTATGAAGCCATTGGTGAGAGGTGGTCATCTCTCACATAAAGAACAAGGAATTTGGAGGTAACTCTACAGTTTACTTCCCAATAGGAACATCCAGGGAAAATAGAAAAGAGGAATCTTGATAGAATCTCCTCTTTTAATGAAGAGGTGAAGTGGTAGAGAACTCCCCCAAGTTCTTCAAGAACTGTTATACCTATGTTTTTTTTACAGTACATTGCACAGCTGAGCTCCATCAAGACTTCAGGAAACTACTATTACTACTATGCTTTACTTTGTGTGAATAAGTTTTACTTCCCAGTTTCTCTCTGGCAGACAAGATCCATGACTCTGTTAAGGAAGCCTGTCCAAGCCTCGGCACCATGCAGCCTGGCTTTAATTAATTAAAGCCAGTGTCCTGGCTTTAATTCAGATGTAGTGCCCATCAGACTGATGCAGGCTCTCTTGGATCTACTGGAGATTAAAAATGCTTGATTAATTAATGAGACTGACAGTATCTTTGAAACCTGACTTAGGCTTTTAACAACATGCTTGTACCCCTAGTTCTACAGAAAGCCACTGGCATCCTTCAGACATAGCTTGACATAGGTTGATCTGAAAATAAGATTCTTCATGTTCACTTTCCTGGGGTGTAGTAGTGGTTATTTTCTTGGTCTCTCATTAAACATTGAAGTTTTTTCTTACTTTTTGGAAGGATTCAACTATTATACCCAATGTGCCTGCAAGATAGCACTTACCTACCTATCTCCTTTGTTCTTGTTTCATAGCTTCTAAGCAGGGGGGAAAATTGTCTTAATTTGGAAATCCTCAGAACCAACATAATCTTTGACATAGTTATGGAGGTTATCAATAACTCACCTTGAGGAATAGCAATTATCACATTTGATGGTTTGGGGGTTATTTTTTGTTTGTTCGACTGACTGACTGTTTTAAGTATGCCCTCCTGTAGACAGGCAGAAGTTTAATGTAATTTAATTTTAACAGATGATTTATAATGTAATAATTTAATCCTTATCAGAGAGAAGTTCTTATCTCGTTTCAGATATATTCACCCAGCTCTTATTTGTGTTTTATTGCAGTTGTCTACCTTGTGGTTTTTCATCTGTCATTTTTCATGTTTGTATGGTCCTACTGGAAGACTATTTTCACATCTCCCGCATCCCCCACCAAGGAGGTAAATCTGACGTTAGAAAAATGTCTGTGTTTCCCCCCCTTTATTTTCCCTTTATAAATAGCTGAGCTGTTTTCAGTGGTGAAATTTGTTTGTAGTGCTGCATGATTCACCTTTGTGTTCTTACTATCTAAAATAGTACAGCATGACAGCAAATCATAAATGGAAGTCATCAAATTGCTCTTAAAACATTGTATCTTATGTTGCAGGGACAGTATTGTATATGAAATGTGTTTAATTCATCACAAGTTTGACATGCACATATATGTGCTAATGAGATAAAGATGCGAAGGTATTTCTGGGGTTATAGCACTTTGCTATGCAGTAATTTGTATACCACCCATATTTTTAAAACCAATAAATCAAATATAACATTTTTGTGTTTCCATTCTAGGCAATTTTCTCTTTTTAGGGGTAAGAGAATTAGTAATGCAGTGAATACTCATAACTTGGAGGACTGAAGTCCTTAGAAGTAAATCAAGAGTTAAGGTTCAATGACAGCTGAGAAGGGAGTATGTAAAAGGAGTTTACATAATGACAAAAGAATGCCTGATGACTATAAGAAATTTTGTTTTGAAAGAGAATGGTGTTAAATGCAGTGAACCCAGACTGTGTTATCTTGTCCATTCTCTCTAATGGTGTGTATAAGGGTTAAATAGTGGCACTAAATTAAAAAAAATAATAATAATGGAGTTTTATAAAGCTTTTAAAATACCTAAACTGAGGTTTTGGTTGCTCTATGGGGTTTGCACATTCATTCTATTTTTGGCAAGAGTGACTTTCAGTGCTAATGGCTTAGCCTTAAACAATTCTGTAAGGAAGTAAAAGCATTCTACTGTGGAAAAGCAAACACTGTTCTGCCATGCCTAACTTCTACTTAGATATTTTTATCTTAGAAAGCTATAGAATGCAAGTTGAAAAAATACTATTCTACTCTTTAGCTAAGCAAAAAGAGTAGTGCTGAATAGTTAAATGTGAAAATTCAGAGGAGCTTTCATCCGGGGTGATTTGTCTGGCTTTATAGTTTGTTTACAGAACCATGTCAGAAAATGTTTGATAGGCTAGCCAGCTAAAATGTGATTGCAGTTGTGTTACTCCAGATCTTGTAAAGCTGTGTGAACTTAGGCTGCTGCTAGAGCCTAATAATGTTTTCTGCCTGCTTAGATTCTTTAATAATGGAATCCTTCTTCACACAATACCTGTATTGTAGTTAATGTTGTAACAATATTTCCATATTCGGTGCATAAAAGGAATGATTCGGGCATGTGGGACACCATGAATATTTCCTATTCTAAGTGTGTGGGAGGAATCAGAACTTATATCTATCTATCTATCTACAGCTACCTCAAAAAAAATCTCCGAAAATACTTTTCTTTCCTCCTCTGTTCATGTTCTAGTAAATAATTTAGGCTGGTTTTGTTTAAAAACAAAATCTGGCTTCAGAATTTCCCCATTGTACTAGAGTGTTAATGTATATATTTTTAGTTATTTAAATTAGGTATTCTTTCAAAACAAATAGCATCCTGTGATCTTACTATTGAACTAAAAAAAGATTCTGCAGCTGTTGTTGTTGTAGTGTAATCCCTGTACATTTGTCATAAGAAAGAACAATCAACATTATGCAAGATCCAAAAAGGAAGGAAACAAAGGGATTCTTTCTGTTTTCAATAAGAACTACTGGAACCTCTTTGGAAATGGTTAGCTATGTGGTAATAGACAACTCTTGATGTTTTTGAACATACATATCCTGCCATTGTCTAAAAAGGCTGTGGACTTGTGAGCCTATTTATTTCTGAAATTAGAACAGAAACATAGCTTTGGGAAACTGAAATCCTCATCTAGGATTTTTGGAGTCATATTTTTGAACAAATTCAAAAAAGCTAATCCTTGTGACCTACTTTCTTTTCTGCATGTTAATGGTTTGCCATAGAAATGACTTCTAGAAGTAGTATTTCCTGTCTACATGCATCTTCTAATTGCTTATGGGTCATGGGACACTCATTTGGCCACCTAGCAGGCTCCCAAGAGGCAGTATGGGAAAGGCATATTGCACTGCTGTTAGCTGGCATAATGTGTCGTGGCTGTCTTAAATTTTTGATGTGAGAATCTGTAGTTTTCATAGAAGAGTAAGCCTCTAGCTTAGAGATGGATATAAATGTGCTTGCTGATGACCTCAAAAATAAATCTCAAGTTTAGCATTTTACTAGAGTGATCCTAATTTCTGATGATTTGAAAGGGATGTTTGGGCATAGAAAACAGAGTTTCAATTGCAGGAGGCCTTGAACTGCTCCATGGTTGGACACAGCCATTTCCATCTGGCTCTAATGGGTTAAACAGCCCACCATGCACCACAACCTCGCTCAGAGGAGTGCATGATCCCTCCGCCAAAAAAAAACGTGAACATATTGTAACCTTCACCCCTTGCCCCTGTAAAACACAAAACCAAGAAAGTTACATTTGAACATACAGCCATTATAAACTCCACCCCTTATCTTCACTGACTAGACTATCAGATTTAACTCTGAATATTATTCAGGCCTTGTCCCTCAAATATCCACTGTGCTTTAGCATACATACCAGTGATGAAGACCATATAAGCAGTAAGTACCATCACCACTGGAGGTACCTGTAGGTTTGGAACTTCAGTCACTGCAGGGTTTCTTCCATACCCACAGTGGGTGGTGAAGACTTGATGGAGTGTGAGCATTTCCTTATTAGAGGAGTAAAAGGAGGGACTGGAACATGTTCCACACCTTCTGACAGCATTAACTGAGCTCTGATCTTTCCCCTGCCCTTGCAATTCCTTTCATTCCCACTTAATCATATCCTTCTCCTCCTTTTTTTCAGTAACATTCTTAAGTGCTGATGTATAGGGTAAGAACATGGGAAATTTTCAGCCCTTCTTGATACGTTTTTTCAAAGCTGACCATACTGCTAGACCCTACATCATCCTCAGCCATGCTACTAATCCCACACCATTACCCCCCAGTACTGAAGATATGGGTCATCATTTGATCAACAGACTGTCCTACCTGATAAGATTATCAAGTGATACAAGAGGGGCCTGGTTGTCAAGGCCTTTGGGTCATGGCATAAGCCATGACTGCTGTTCCAGAACCTCCTTCTCCTTCCTTGTCCAAGCAACTGCAGTGGCTCCCATCCTTCCCCCAGCCCCTCCGCAGGGGTCTCTTAAAGCATTATCCCTTAAAGAATTAGCCATTGCTCCATTTATCCCTCCTGTAGCTGATCCCAAAGCCCTGCTCCATTGTGCAGGGCAGCATTTACAAGTGGTATTTGCCTCTGTAGCAGCATCTGCAGCGCTGCGGCCGTGTCCTCTTCTTTAGGTTCCTTTTGAGGAAGGCACCATTGAGTGGTCATGCTTGGGAGGCAGCGCTTCTGTTTCCATAGCTCTGCTTAGCCCACTAACTGAAGGGCTCCATTTTATACTTCATACCCTGAGTCCTCAGCCTCGCACCCGGCTTCCTGGGTCCCTCTGGTCAGTAAGCCCCTGTGCTCATTCCCACAGCAGCTCCTTGCACCCCGCTGCACTGTGGCCATTTGAGTACTGCTCTCTGCTGCCAGGGACCTCCCTTTCCCCTGAGCACAGGCCACCACCTGGTGGTGCCTGGTGCTGCGGCAGAACATGAGCAGCCTCCGGAGCTCTGCTCACCGCCCTGGAGAGCAGCTGTGGGCCTGGTGCTCCCAGCAGCACTGCCCCAGCTTGGCCACAGTTCCTGCAGCCCCCAGCCTAGAGCTCCTCGATCCTGAACCCATGAGTTTGGGGCCATCCTGCCTCTTCCTTGTTGCCTTCTCATCTGCCAAGGGCTCTCTCTGGTCGCCTCTGACTCTCTGTTTTTCTCCTGTTTGCACATTGTTTGTCCCTATCCCCCTAAATACGATGGGCACACCATCTCCGTCACTGATTCTCTGTACCAGAATCAAGGTTCCTGCCAATGTATCGAAGTCACTACAGTTAACTCCAGTTACAGACCAGGCATGCATGGGGTGTTGCCCTCATTCTCCACCAAGCAGGCAAAGCAGATTTGGGAATTTTTCCTGAATTTACTGACAGTCAGCACAGGCTTTTAAGGACTGCTCTGGGTACTGAGAAGCAAAGAAGGCAATTAAGAAAGCACTTAGGGAAACACCCTTCCTTCCCCCGGCTCTGTTTCCGGTTCCCAGTCTGCACAGCCCTGGATTTTGCCACAGGTTTTTCTCCTTCCTGTCAGTGAGGCAACAGGCACTGCCACTGCTGGCTTCTCCACTGGCCACAGTCCCTTTGGAGGTGTCGCTGCCCTGGTAACACTCCCCCATGGCCACATTCCCCCTCTCTCACATGTGCCCTCTCCATTTCCCAGCAGTTATGGCCCTTCCTTAAATATATTTGACAAGAGCCACTCTGTGCTCCTCTGGATGAAGTTCTGGCACACGGTGGGTTGTTCCCCTCAGTTGCGGAGCTGGGGGAACAGAGTGTGACAGGGCAGCTCCTAACCTCTTCCCAAACCTCTGCAATCCCAGCTCTGCCAGGCATGCCCAGTAAAAGTGGCAACGTTTCACCCTCCACCCTTAAATGAATGAGCAGGCATATATATATGTATATATATTATACATGTACATATGGAGTGTGTATGTGTGTGCATATGTAATGTGAGCTTATCTAGATTCCCTGGAACACAGGTGAGTTATTTGCGTTCCAGATTAGGAAATAACATCGCACAGTCAGAGCAGTGTGTTACTGTGTCCTCTTTTGCTGTAAATGAGGTCTTTGTTGGTGCTTGCCAACTGAGTAGAACCCAGAAGAGGAAAAAGTACAGGATGAGAGGAAAATCCACATGAACTAATCATATAGATACTCTTGATAGGAAAATATGTTCATATTAAACCACATTTTTGTTCCGTTTGCAGACACAGCATTTTCCACTCACCAGCATGAATACTCTGTCTATGTGTGCTTATAAAAAGGGCTCTTGTAGTCCTTGCTGGAAGCTCAGAGTTTAAAATGCTCCAGAACAGAAAATATCAGAGAAATAGTGAGTTCAGTGTATGTTGAAGCCATTGCATCGGTACTTGTCAGTGCACTTTTTTTTTTTTTTTTTTTTTGTGGAACTTAATGGTAAAGCTTTTAATTTCAATGGATAAAATACTAGTGTGTCAGAAGTGAGAAAAATCTCTCTGGCTTAGTCCGTTGAAGCTTTTCATCTTAAACAGGAATGCTTCTTGTGCTTAATTCAGGGTTGTAACTCTCCCCGAAATTCCACAGGTTTTGCTGAAGCTGCTCTCAATACAGCTAACAGATTTTAAGGCCAGCTTTGACTACTACTAGTTAAAATTTCAGTTAAACACATTCAGCTTCTGTGCTGCAGCTGTGAAAAGTTGCTCCTTGCCCCCTGCCCCCTTCTTCCTCTGGCTTGTAGCCTTCTTAAAGTCAGGAGGATAGCGAGTAAGAGAACTTCAATCTCTTATAGCAACAAAGGACTCTTGTGCATTCCACTGGCTCATGGATCATTTAGATTTTACACTCATCACAATTTCAAGGAAGGTTTGTACCTTCTTAACACCCTCCTGAATCTCTGGCTTTTGTGTTGCAAAGGGAAACTTAGGAGATAAGGAAGAGGATGATGATTCTCTGTAAGATATCACTAATATACCTTAAAGATACCAAGATACCATCATGTCCTTTCCAGTTGTGGTTTTGGGGGTCTCCTGTAACTTAGTAGCATTCAGTCTTTTTTTTTTTTTAATTTTGTGAGATAAGATAGGATTATCCTGCCCAAAGGGATAGGATTAAGATCCATAGGGTATTTTCTTTGAATTGTACACAAAGTGATAATTATTCTTTTCCCTCCTCCCATTTTTGCCTTCCCAAACAGTTTTGCTTGTCAAAAGCTGATAAAGAACAATATGAAAAAGAAGAGAGACCAGAATCCCAGCAGGAAATTTTGAGAAGAGCTGCTAAAGACTTGCCTATCTATACAACAACAGCATCCAGAGGTGAGATACAAAGATATTTCTCCCAAAATCTCTCTCCCAAAATGCAGTTCTCCCAAAAGCTGCCAGATTAATTCAGTGGAATTCATTCATCGTTACTGAATGAACAATCTATTAAACACATACTGCAAAGGCCATGACCTTGTGTTTTCCCCATGAGAAACTAGAGTCCTTTGTCTGTAGATCTAAAGCTTTCTCAAAAAACATCTTCTTCCAGTAAGCAAACAGATGACAACATTTATTTCCCACTCTGGCTGTAAGAATAATTACAACAAAGAAATACAGCTAGAAATAGACTGAAATTCAGCTTTCTACTCGGACTTGCAGTCATTCATATCCCACTTTAAACTTCTCTTTCTGAGCTATGCCAGTTCAGTGAGAGTTCATCATTAGAAAGTTCATCATTAATGCTAGAATTTAAGAACCAATAAACGTTATTTCAGTCCCACAATTCAGCTGTTTAAATAAGAGCTTGTTGTGAGCTGTTTCTGTGTTTGCCCTCATAAGCATTCTTATTCCAGCTAATACAAGAATGATCTATGAAGCAGCTGTGCCATACACATATGTAGATTTTTGTAAAAGTAGCTTATATTTATTTTTATATAGTTATTTCTTGAAACTAGCAGTGCTGTAGATTTCTCCAAAAACATAAACTGCTCAAGATAACTATTACCAGATTTTACTGTGACTTTCCAAATGAAGTGGAAGGACACCTGGCTCCTTTGAATACAAACCTCCTTTTCAGGTAATCCTGGTCTTAAATTCCTGGAGTGGCCTGGGAATCTCTTGCCAGCTTTTCACAGTTCTGCTTAGCTGTGGATGTTGGCTTTCCTCTTCATTTCAAAGTGCCTGCACTGGCGTCATATTTCCATTGAGGAGAGCCTGAAGTCTTGTTGGAAAATACCCAGAGAGGATGAGGGAGAGCTAACTTACTGGACAGCCTACTAGTAGCTCTCTGAACAGCCTATTAGATCTTTTGCATTTGCTGAAGAAGTCCATTTATTGAAAGGAGGGAATTTTACAGTGAGATGGACACCTGTCCAGGGCCACCAAGTAGTAGGGGATCAGTTCCAGAGGTTTAGGGATGGAAAAAACAAGGAGCCAAATAGTAAATAAGAAGCAGAAGTTCAGACACAAGCTCAGTACAATGGATGTAGTAGTAGTAATGGGTGAAACATTTGTGTGTATATGTGTGTTCCATTTCCAAGAAAAAAAACAAAAGTGTATATTGCATTAGGGTAGCCACATGAAGGTCTGTGGAAACAAGCATTTGGGGCAGAGGGTGAGTGAACTCTCTAAGATTCTGTTTATGTTAAGAATGGGAGAAAAAAAAAAAACATAAAATTAAGTCAGTTCTTGACTCTCTCCTTGTTTTTTGAATGCAGCCATCAGATACTGTGATCGGTGCCAGCTAATCAAACCTGACCGCTGCCACCACTGTTCTGCATGTGACATGTAAGTTACTGTATCTAGAATGACGGATTTGCTTCTGTCCCCCAGCCTTCACTTTATTATGTTCATATCTTATGTGTGTCAACCCTTGTACGCAAGCTGATTTGACCATTTATTCCACTCCCAGCCCCTCAGTAACTCAGTACCAGAACAGAGTACTCCAGTACCAGAACAGTTCTTCCTGTGGGTGCAGCTCCATGGACTGAAGTGGCAGAACTTGTTAGGAAATGTGTTTATACCTTTGTAAAATTATGTGTATATAAGAAAAGGATCAGTGGCTGAAATTAAAGTGAAATCTGAGATACCAGCACATGCTTATTATAGAACTCTATTTTACTGTATATTGCTTCTCCAGCTTTGAAACACACACTTGCCAGCAGTACTGGTTAAACTCTATTTCAAAGAGGTCTTAAACACTAGTCTGATTTTGAGCCATCAAAGAAAGATGTTAGGGCACTGAAGGCTGAGTCTGTGAGTGAGACTTCAGTAGGCTGAGCTCGAGGAAGTCCATCGAACTAAAGAAGTAAACATATTTTGGCTAAAATAAATTAATTAAGAAATACAGTGAATGTCTCCCTGAAATGACTAGCCGGTGTCCATACACTACAGCTAGGTGCAAATGAACTATTCAGATTGCCCACTGTGCTTTGCTTTTCCTCAATGACTCTTAAAAAAACCAATCAACTAACAAAAATAGCCCTAAGGCAGACTTAGTTGAAGTGAATGCCAGGCTAAAAACCTTATTCACACTGTTCCAGAGTGGTTGTTTCAGGGTTTGTTTTCTCTCAATGAGCTTGTAAGACTGCTGTGGTTTAGTGAGCTATGAATAACCTGCTGTAATTGTTACTCAGTAATTCTCCCCTTGCTGAGTTTTGAAGCTCATCCTGATTCTTCTGAATCTCACTTGGTCCTTTTCAGTGAGAGGATGGCTTCTGTAATATGGAAACTTGGCATATGGGGGGAATTAAAATTAAAAAAAAAATCCTTTAGAAACTAAAAGCGTATGTCTTAGAAATGAATTCTATTTTTTGCTTTAACTTACTGGAAATTATCTCCTTTCTCTTTCAGATGCGTGCTAAAAATGGACCATCACTGTCCATGGTAAGTTCAGGAAAATAAAAACCAAATCAGTATAACAGTATAACTTGATCCTACATGTTGCTTCGCAGATGTAAATTTTAAATAAAACTTGATTTTCATAGGATTTTTGATTTTCATCGAAAAAGGTTTGGATATATGTAAATACTTTTTTCCCTAATGTATATAGCAACTTAGAATTGCAGGCCTGGTAGCACAAATCATGCTCCCTCTCCTTAAACAAGAGAAACAGTTAATAAGACCTATGAAAAATGGCATTTATTTATTTAGCTTGGCATTATTATCAGGAGAAAAAGTGTCTACTGCACTGTGAAATGCAGTTCTCCAATACTAGAGCCACATTAGATAAGATCTGCCCAGGCAGTTAGTCTGCTGCAACTTGCATTCACTGCTAGCCAATATTACCTATTGGCATGACAGAAATACTCATTATTGGTAGTTGACTTGAAGGACTTTGCAACCAAAGCAACATCCACAGAAATTGATGGAGATTTGTATTGTCTTCGGCAAGTACTTCAATTAGTTCCTAGAGTATAAGAAGCTTCCTCTACAGGCTGTATCATACACATTGCTAGCTCACATCTTGTCCTGTAGAACTTCTTGTGGGGTAAAATTTATGGGAGGGCCAAGATCACTTGGGCTGCAGGAGGAAACTGTGCTTAAAAGGGTGCCTAAAATGTTTCTCGTCCCAGCCAGTTTTGGACATACTGCTAACACCATGCGCAGTGTTATGATGTTCTGCAAAAACAGCTGAATGTATTGGGTTTTTTGTTTTTTGATTTTGATATTATTTATTTATTTATTTTGTATCATAATAACCTCTTTCTCTTTCCCCTCCTTCTAGGGTGAATAATTGTGTGGGATTTTCTAACTACAAATTCTTTCTGCTGTTTTTAATGTATTCCTTACTGTACTGTTTGTTTGTTGCTGCTACAGTCTTGCAGTACTTCATAAAGTTTTGGACAGTAAGTTCTAAGACTTTTTTTGTTTGTTTAGTCTTGCATGTCTTATTGAAAGCTACATCAGCATGTTGTCACTCACCTTTGACTGTTTCATAGTTCATTGCCATGAACAGCATCAATCGAGGTGACTGAAGCAGGAGAACCTTCTGAATTTTAATGAATTAAATGTATTACACTGGCCTGGATGAGTAATTGGGAAAGGAAGGTCCAATGAGGACTTTGCAATTTCTCTGCTCCATCAAAAGAAAGCGGCACAGCCCAGTTTTATGTGTTTTTTGTTGTTGTTGTTTTTTGGGGGTTTTTTTTGTTTGTTTTTGTTTTTTAACTACTGGATATAGCTAAGCAGATAGAGAGATCGGGCTATATTAAACAATTGCGTACATGTGTATATTTGTTTAAAAAAAAAAAAAGGAAAAAAATGTCAGATAAAAGTAATGATTCTGTGTCTTCTTAAACCTCTTCATAGATACTCTTCTATCAGATAAGGCAGGTGAACTTGGGAATTTACCAATCTCCAATTTGATATGCCTACATACAAATATTTGAGCTTCATATTAGTGGGTTTTATTGATCTGAGTAGAATATTAAGATATTAAAATATTCATCTTCTTTGCAGTTATTATTAGTTGTTAAATGGTCTGTACATGTTTATTCTGTTATCTCTAGAAAACTACGTGTATGTGAAGTTCAAACATCCTTGTACATCAGTGTTGTTTCTCCTATCAGTTTTATTCTGTTTCAGGCTGAATAAAGTGTCTTCTCATGTTGTTCACTTTCATCCCTGAAACCTTCTACTCTTCCTTCTTGTCTTTTAAGACAAAATAATCTTCTCTTAATTCCCTTAACCAAATTATATTAACTAGCAAGGAAGAAATCACTGTGAATGGAAGGCTGTCCTTCACATCTTCTGAAGTTAGTTATAGCATATGGGTCTTAGATGCTGGCTGCTGTTTGAATCACTATGAAAAGGGGTAATTATCTATAGCTGTAGATGTAACCATTGTTGGAACAAAAGGATTTTACCAGTTCAGGGTTAGAGAAACTTTATCACATATTCAGAATAGCTGTACTTTGAAACAGTTGTCATTAGACAGGTAAGGGAAAAAGTGCAAAAAGTACCTTGTGTTTATGTTCATTTAAGCCTGTGGGTCTGCTTTGCCCAAGTGTTGTCTCAATCTCTCAGTTCTGTTTAGTTGCCTGTCACTAGAGAGCAAAGAACTCAGCATCGTGTGAGATGAAATTTATAAATGTATTTAACCATCATAACTGTGGCTTCGCATATTTCCCAGATGAAATGGTCTGATTCTGCTGCTCAGTCTTGCTTGACTATAAATGGTTAATTTTTTAATTTGTGAATGCCCCACTCCTAGACATCTGCCTGGCTGCTTTCCAGTGCCTTGTATGCAATTTCTAATGAAATTGTAGATGCGCTTCTACATATTTACCAGTCAGTGCTTGAGCAAACAAAATGAATTTGCTTGTCACCTCACTACATTAGTGTAACTGCAGTGCAAGTTCCCAGGACATCTAACCACGATGACCATTTAATACCAGCACTTATAGCAAGCCCCTACCAAAGCCCATTGGACACAATGTTAAAGTGGACCCTTGAGCAGAGGAAGTAAACTTAAGAGGGTGTTTTTCTTTTAAAATAATTTATTTGCTTAAATGTTTCCTGCAAGAATGGGCTTCTTCTGGAATATGACAGTAGAAAACTGAGGTGTGTGCTCGCAGTTGTTGCTTTGGTTTCCCAATTACTTCCAAAACAAAATCTTGTAATGATGTAGTCTTAAAATGAGACTCACTTATTTATATTAACTCACTTTATTAAATCACTTGTCCCACTCAGCTAATTGTAATAGCTATGATCTTATAACAGTCTTACTCGAGCAGACTTCCAGAAAGAGGCAGCAGTGCCACAGTTGTGTAGGCTGGCAAAATTTAGGATGATTACAGGATGTAGAAGCTCTTCTAGGCAAGTGCTCTTGATGCGGGGTAGAATCCTCAAAGCTTCTCTTTGCAGCTGAATCAGGACTAGGGCAGTGAACTGTTGTTGCCTGCTCTCTGTAGACTGCTTTCCTATATTGCTGATAACCAGTTTTCTGCTTGTTACAGCATCAAACACAACTTTTTTTTTTTTTTCCCTCCTATTTGGGCTCCCTAGATTTCCCCTCCCCACAAAGCCAAGCCCTCAAGGCCATTCCAGGCTGCCTTCAGAAGGCAGTGCTTCCTTTTTGTGTCCTCACAAATGCTTTCAGAGGAAGTGTGCACCCAACTGCGAGATATGTCCAGTGCTGGCATGGATGATGACCTGCTTTTGGGGAGAATAGTTTTGATCACTTCAGAACCTGCCATAATGTGATAACTATGCAAAGTAGCAACCCACTGTTTTGCAGTGTTGGTAATACTTGTGTATCGATACAGTGAACACGCACATCCTTGCAAACATTGTGAGAGATGCACAGCTATCTTCTGTCAAAGGAAAACTTGGTGTATCCCGCGTGTACCTGCGCGATATTTGCACGGGGTATTCCCGTGGGGCAGCCGTGCTCCCTGCCAATGTTTGCCCCAGGCTCATACTCTGGTGTGGGTGTCAAGAGCCATTTTGTAGATCAAGGGAATGTGAATGACTCCTTTTTCATGACTCCTTGTGCTATATCCATTAAAGTTTCATTTCCACCGAGGCTATTGTCAGAGATGAGGTGATAAAAGCTCAGTTTAACAAAATATGTTTGACAAAAACACCAGCACTGGCTGCATGCCCAGTCAGAGAATCACAGTCCTTGAAGCCCTGCTTACCTAGTGCACATTAGCACTTTCCAGTGTGTTTGTATCCACTTTCATTCTTGCTGTGTTTCCTCCCACTTGAAAAAGTGATATTTTCCTTTCTTTTTCAGCATCTTTCAGTGTCCTCTAAATTATTTTGGCAATCCTCAGTATAGACCATTCAAGTATGTGATATGTACTGTGAGGCAGATGGCACAGGGTCTGAAAAACTGGTTGTACTTTGAAAAAGCAATGCCAGGTCCTCAACTAAAAGCTGGCCCTTTGGTACAGAATACAGAAGAGCGTGGACCAGATGTTCTGAGTTTTTTCTAGGCTCGAGCTAGACCAAGCTGCTAAAGATGAGACCCCCCCTTTCAGAATAGTGGCTGCGTTCAGTCTTATGTGTGCTAAGGAGCCCAAATTCTTTTTTTTGTTGTTGTTGTTGTTATTTTGTTTTGTTTTGTTTTGTTTGTTTTTCCTTGACATCCCCAACTTTCATTCAAGAATTTAGAGCCATTGGCTGAAATCGAGTTGTCTAAGTGGTAGATGCTCTCTGAGGATCCAAGTTATTCTTGCATAATCAACTCAAAAAAACTTTTCTTTAGGTTACAGAGTTACCGTTATAGCATAATGCAGCCTATATGTATCCATATATTTTCTGGCCCAGAAGTTGATTACAGTGTCCATGCAAATAAGTAAGGTAGTGCTAGAACACACAAATTTGTGCTTTTTGTATAAAGACCTAAAATGGCAAAGGGAAATAGTGAAATGCCTGAAACTGGAAGCTTTAGTTCTTTTTGTGTAAACTGCAGGCTCTCTTGTAGCATTAGCTAGCCTGACTTCTTGGGTATATCTACACCAGCAAGAAGTTAAAAAAAAATGGAAATCATGTTTCCCAGGAAAACTGCATTGTGCTCTGAAGTAGGGGAAGTCTTGGTAGTTTTACCAGGAAGGCCAGGAATAAGCAACAACTGGAGTATGTTCTTTGCTACCCTTGACTTCAAGCAGTCACAAAACCCTTGATGTCCTTAGGATGGGGAAGAGGGGTTAGTACAGAAGTTGCCTGAGGAAAACTATATCCAAAAAGAAAAGGTAGTAGATAAGGAACATGAACTTTGTTGCCAGTTCAGGGAACTGGACACTGCTATCACTTGCTTATTCCAGAATGATCTGATGGAAGCCAGCATTCTTGAAAATGCTGTTAACGTTTGCCAGGCTCTACGTTAAAAGCTCAGGCTCTCCCTAGAGTTTCTGCTCAGCTTAATATAATTTAAAAGCCAAGCATTTTATCTAAAACATATTTGTTAAGTGATAGCATGTTAGCCAAGATGGCTAATCTAGCCATTTACATAAAAATTTAGAATTTAAAATCTAATTTAAACCAAGCTTTCCTCTTAGAGGTAGAGTTTCCTTTCTTCCTTGATTTTCTTAAGTGCTGGTTTGGTTTCAGGTGTGAATACCTCGTACACAAATCTCAATATTGAAGAATATTGACAAGAAAGAAACAGTACAATACTTATAGGATCTTTTTCTTTAACAAAGAAAATTAGGCAACTAATAGGAATATATTTTTATGATCTTGACTGCAAGTGTCTCTAGTGATAATAGATATGTTCTGAACTCAGATTTTGTAATTTGTAACCCATTGCTCTATACCTTTTGGCTATTCCAAGTTTTTCCTAGTGGTTTGTGTCAAACCCAGTATTCACATAAACTTTACTTACGATGGGGGGAAAAAAAGTAGCAAAGAACATGTCTGATGCTGAGCAAAGCCCTTGACAGTGTGAGCAGCAGCCTTGGCACCTCAGCAGGAAAGGCGCTGCCGGAGCCGCTGGGAACGTGTTCCCAGGTCCCCTCGCTCCGTTTTCCTGCAGAACAGGGGCCTCGTCCTCGATGGCCATGGGAACCCTGTACACCCAGAGCATGTGTGCACCCCAGCCATTCCTCTCCCCACAACCCCGTGCTGTTTTCAAACCCTTTGTCTTGCTGCAGTATTAGTATTTAATAAATTGTCTTTGTTTGCGCAAAGCTTTGCCGCAGGAAATCTGCAGAGAATTGTCCAAAGGTAAAATCCAATATTGATGTCATTATTTAAACAATGTTCCTACTATAATTTGTGTAATCCAGTCGTTCATGAGAGCTGTTTGCAGCATAACTGAAAGGAGGGAGTCTTATAATCTGTGTTCCCCATATAATGTAGGCTGTGTAAGTAGCTATTAATAAAGCTGTGTACTTGATGTTTATCAAAATGTATTTCAGACAGAGATATCAGCATCAGATAAGTGGGTTTATAGGATGATATAATGGAAAAAGAAATAGCAATAATGCTGAATAAAAATAGCCTCTCCACTTTTCTAATGCTACAAAAGGTCAGTTACTTAAAAGTACTATGGTTTTGAGCATACAGAGCAGGAAGAGTCATTGCTACAGATTGCACTGGCCTCTTGAAAGTGCAATCCTAAAAATAGCTGAGATTGGGAGTGGAGTTGACCCTCACATGTGGTGAGGAAGTTATTTTTTATATGGTAGTTGTACTGAAAACGTTATTTTTCATGTAGATCGTCTGGTGAGTATCTTTTGCCTGGTCAGATGTGACAGATTTGTTCTGCTACATACTGCTGGCTGTTGCCCAAAGTTGAGAGGTCCTCAAAATGCAGATCAGTCCCAGGCAACTGGTCTCATCTAGTAAATGATTCAGCCTTGGAAACATAGTGTGACTGGGCCGATTCCCTTCCACCTTCCTTGCACCACTGCAGACGTAGGTTGTACTGATTAGTGATACCTTGCAGGAAAGGGTTTCAAAGTTCTTGTTGCTTTTTCTCCTCTGCAGAAACAGTGATTTTGGATGTGTTTTCCTTGCATCTCCTTGGCTGAGGCTGCATAGTTAACATTTTTCAGTAAGAGGGTTTCTTTTCTTGCCCACTGCTGGGAATTCAAAAAATAACTGGGTTGGGAAATGGCTTGTACACAGCAATGTCAAACATAGGAACACGTGCAGTCATGCTGCTAAATTCAGACGGGGTGCCCATCAGCCCTAACTACACTTGTTCACCTGTCTCCTGTCACATGAAAAGGGAGCCCTATCTGTGCTGCTTTTCATTGTGCAAAGAGCTATAGCAGAAGGAAATATTTAGTCATAATCCTGCATTAGTTGCTAAAAAGCATTAACCTATTAATCTCTTTTTCTCTTTCTCCCCAGAATGAATTGCCAGATACCCATGCAAAGTTCCATGTCCTTTTCCTTTTCTTTGTGGCAGCCATGTTCTTCATCAGCATTTTGTCACTCTTCAGCTACCACTGCTGGCTAGTTGGCAAAAACAGATCGACCATAGGTCAGTCACCGGCAGTGTGGACCTGTTCCTTGCCCAGAAAAGGGACAAGTCGCTGCGAATGTGAGGCCTGCAGGATGCACCATCACATTTAAGGAAGTTTTTAAAAACGTTGTACAGTAAAGAACATCTGTGGTGAAAGTAACTGTGGCTGAAACATCCTTGGTTGCAGGGCGTGTGGAAGAACAAAATTTATGCAGGGGGTTCTCTGCTGGAGCCAAGCCTGTAGATTGATGACGAATGTGGTTTTCTTTAGTTTGTATTTTGAGATTGCTGTGCATTTCTGTTGTTTTTATACAGTGCTAAGTATCTAACAATTATTGCTTGCCGCTTACCCTAGCTAGATGGCCCCAACCCAGAGAGAGGCACTACTCTAAATATGTTTTGAACCAAATCCCCAGCAGTATTCCTAAGCCTTGTAAAATAAGAAGGGAGATTGCTATTAGCAAGTGACTTGTAAAAGCACTGCAATAAAAATGGAATCACTGATGCACATTTCCTAAATAATACAAGAGAAAGAGATGCCAGTAATTCTTGTGTCTCTTCTAAAAGGCATTATGTTAAGCAAGCAAGCAGGTTAAATGCATTAGTAAAAATATCTGAAGTTCCTGCAAAGACATTTTTGAACATATTTTTGCTTTTTTTCCCCACAATTTAAGAAGTCAAAATCTTACAGTTTTCAGTGAAACATAGTTTTCAATCCCCAAGAATAAAAGGTTGGCTGAAAGTGAATTTCAGCCTGCCAGAATATTTTGGTGGGAAAAGGGAATTTTCTTGATCACTTAATGGGAGGGTAGTTTGAGTCTTTTTGTTTTGAGGTATCTGCAGCTAGGGCATATTCACAGACCCTTGAGCTTTGAAGGAACTTTTAGTGTGTTCCCTGCCCAAAAGTCAGTGCTGGTCCTGTCAGCTTAACTGGGTATTTTATTCCCCCCCGCTTTTTTTTTTTTTTTTTTTTTTTTTTGATCATGACTGATAAAAGATGAGCTGTTTCTCTGGGGAGAACCATCAATCTTCTCAGTTCTTCATCAACGGTTTATAACCAGCCTGACTAGAAAAATGCATTAATTGTTTGGGTGGTGTGCTATAGGTGATGGTGTTTCCGTGTTTCTAACATAACAAATCTCATCTTTCTCTGATATGCTCTTAATTCAGCCTCAGATCTTGGCAGAAGTGAAAGAAGTCGCCCTGTGTGGGCTTTGGTACAATAAACCCTGTGGTAAATGGCTTGTGCCAAGGAGCGTTTCTTCTGCTCCAGAACGTGCACAGGCCATAGAAAGAGCCAGCCACTAATGAGCAGGGATGTGGGGTCTTGCCTGCTGATGGCACTTAGCTCTGGCTCAGACATTATGGTAAATGTAAAGGGAAAGGGTCTGCGCTACAACCTTCCTCCCGTGTGAACTTTTTTTTTTTACCTTTTAAGGTTAGTTTTGTCACTGTGTTTTTTTAGTGCTAATTACTCCAGGTAGCTGTTAAAATTTTTCCATAGTACACATCCAGGTGACCCCAGTTTACCCGATACTGTTTTCACAATAGAAAAATCTGAGTCTGTGTATTCCTCTTTCCCCACGCTCATCCATTTACAAATGTTGCTTTTTATTTTACAGAAACATTCCGTGCACCCACATTTCGCAATGGCCCAGATAAAAATGGCTTTTCTCTTGGATGCAGCAAAAATCTGAGGGAGGTTTTTGGAGATGAAAAGAAGTATTGGCTCATCCCTATTTTTACCAGGTATTCAGTCTGAATGGGAATCGACTGGGGAGTAGATTGATTCCAGGACTCTTGCCTCCCCTCCCTTTCTCCCAGCAATGAAGCACAGCTGAAAAGCCTACCTGTAAATCCTGTGCTCTGAAGAGTGATGTGGGAAATGTGAAGGAGACAACTGAGCAAATTCTGTGTGGGGTTTTCGTTCAAAGGCAAGAGCCTCTTTGACAGAGACCTTTTAAATACAAAATTTTAGAAACCTTTGAAAATTGAACGTATTTTGTTGGTAGTGTTAATATCCGATTGTAGAGCAGAAATCAGCAACAGAGAGGAGACCCAAATGCATGAACTTCACCTGCATTGAAAAGAACGGCAGTCTAGAAACACTCTCTCCTACCCCTCAAAATACTTGACACACATTTTGTTGTCCCATATTTTATTATTGGAAACCTTCTGAAAAAGATGTATGTAAATAAGCAGCAGTACAAAAAGGTTTTCTGATATGGTGGGAACTACTACTTTTTAAATTCCTCAGCTGAACCAGTGTTAGGGGTGTTGCAGACAGTCAAGCTGGACTGAACCAGAGATGGATCAGTCTGCTTCCCCAAAATATTTTAGATTTGCTTTAGAAGAAGGCTTAACTGAACTGAAGTGACACCTAGTTACTGAAATGACACCTGGCACCAGAATATTATTTATGATAGAGCTTCCAGGTGTGTAAATACTGCACCATTTGACTACCTGTGCCTAGTGGTTTGGGGGAAGACTAAAGCTACATTTTGAGCATCAAGGTGTTTTTTCTGAAATGCTTAGGCTAGTGCCTGTGCTCAGTAGCCTGTACTGAAGGATAAGGTAGGAATTACAAAATCTAATTAGCTCATCATGAGGCTTAGTGGTAGAACTACATTGCTCAAGTCTGGGGTTCAGTGCGGCACTCAGTCATTGGTTCGGGCCTGAAGAGTTTACCTTTGGTGTGAGTGTTTGTTCAGTTCATTTAAGTCAACTACAGACGATGATTTAAATCTTTGTTTCTGGTTTAGTTTGGGCGACGGGTGTAATTTCCCCACTCGTTTGGTGATTATGGATCCAGAGCAACTTACTGTCTCAAGCCAAAATGAACCTGCCAAAAGGTAACTGGAGCATTTAAAATGTTTGTCTTGTGCTAGAACTAGAGGAAACAGCCAGAAACTGAAGCATCAAAAGTTCCACAGGAGCTTAAGGAAAAGTTCTTAACAGTGAGGGTGCCAGAGCCCTGGAACAGGCTGCCCAGAGAGGTTGTGGAGTCTCCTTCTCTGGAGATCTTCCAAACCCACCTGGATGCCACCCTGTGCCACATGCTCTGGGTGTCCCTGCTGGAGCAGGGGGTTGGACTAGATGATCTCTAGAGGTCCCTCCCGACCTCAACCATTCTGTGAGTCTATGATTCTGTTGCTTAGTATTTCATTCAGTGAAGAAGTGGTTTCAGAATTATTTTTTAAATTCTTTATACTTCATATTGGGTTCAGAGTGAGTCTGTAAGTCTTCAGAGAAAGATAAGGTGAATCAGTACTAACCCAATGTTATCTTAATTCAGAGAGGCTGTTGCTATTTTTTGACCTGAAGCTAAGGTTATTATTTCTGTTAGAAAATAGAGTATTATGGAAAAAAAGGCTTGCTGCATATTTTTCTCTTCGGGCTTAGCGTTGGTTGCTTTTTTCTAGAGAGAAAAGCGACAACATAAAAGCTCGAGGAAGCAATGAATAATGATACACACACACACAGAAAAAAAGTAGATTTAGGAAAAAAGAAGGTATAAATTCTTTGCATTTAACCTCCTTCAGCCTGCTTACAAAGAGATAGTAAGACATGGTTTCTGAGAGGCTGATGTAGTGTTGATTCGGTTGGCTTTCAGCACTGGAAATGGTTCAGCTCATTACCTTTTATCCTGGCAAACTTGCATGATTTGTATGCTCGGAGCATTTTGTTGTTTCAGAAACTACTATTTTGCATAGGAGTATGTAAAACTTCTGGGGTTGTTTACACAACCACTTTAGAGATCTTCTGTTTAGTGCGTTTATAGCTGAAGGACACTTGGATTATCAAGTGCTGTGGGGCTGAAAGACAAGTCAGAGGTGTTGCTGCAACAGCAATATAACCTGTAAAATTTACATAAGAGTAGGACTCCACAAATTGCAGAGTATTCTGTGGCATTAGAAAGATGTGCAGGAGATTTCCCTGATAGGGTAAGATAGCATTAGGTCCTACTGTCCAGATAGTACTAGTTGAAAGTAGTTGTTCTTTTTAAACTACTAGTTCTGTTTAAACCATGTGGCAGTGGCATTCTCGGTAGACCATTTCTCATCTTCCAGTCTATTAGAACTTCAAGTACCACATCACTTAAGGGCTTAACACTGTTCATTGGCTACTGCTGTTGCAGAATATCTGTTGGCTTTGCTTATTTTTCAGTTCTGGAGCCAGCCAGCCCTTTCCTACTCGACCACTCAGCGAATCACAGAATCGATTGCTGACCAGTGACTGTCAGTGGGTAGAAAGTGGCCCTGAAGAGGAAAATGTTAAATCAGGTAGCCAGCACCATTTCATTTCTCCTGTTCCCTTTTTGCTTTGTTTTTAACTAAGCCTAAAAAAAAAATCCTTTGGAATTGATTGACGTTTGGTAGAGGAGATTTTGTTAAATAGAATCAAGTCAGCATCTTTATATATTAAGGCTGACTCGTGTGTCATGATCTGATCCAAAATGGTTTATTACCCAAAGGTAATGGATAGAAAATTCTGGGTTAGTTCCTGTTCTGAGATATTTTAGTTTTTCAGATGTTGGATTAAGGGGAGGAAAATATTTCTGTGAAATAGACACAGCACTACTGTTGTGTTTAGGCACAAACTACCTAACATAGTTCCTGAAGTCATACACACGTTTTTACTATTTGTTGTGCAAATCTGCAAAAACACATAATTGAGCTTCTCTCACATTTTAGGTACAAAAAAGCATATTATAGTTTCATTGGAAAGCTGATCTCAGTTTATTACTAACCAACCATCTCAGTGAGAAACAGGTAAGACCAACTAATTGATGACTATTTCTGTATGCATGTCAGTAAACTGAGGCATCATGAGGTCCCAAAGTCACAAGTCATGGAACACAGAGAAGTCCTCTAATGCTCAGTGGGTCTATAGTAAAAAAGTCTTGGGTTACCAAATGGTTATCCAGGAAGACAAGAATGAGAGGAAAGCTGTAGAGCAGCAAATGGGCTGGCTTGGCCTGGGGCAAGTCAGTCTAATCCAGTCACTGGAGTGAAGTGGGTAATGCTGTATTTGTTACCTGACCAGTGGAAAGACGGTAATCTGCTAAATAGGTAATTCCAGATGAAGTCTTGATACTCCTTCAAAGAACAGCTCTGTAATCATATTTTTCATAAACATGTATTGATTTGCCATGTTCTCATCTACATTAAGAAAAATGTGTACCCATGAGAAAAGAGAGATGAATAAATAAATTCCTTGAGCGGTGTCTGCATGCAGGCTGCTTAGTCACACCTGGGATTGATAGCGATCTTCTTTCTGTGAGAGCTTCTCTGCAAAATTCTCCCTGCTTGGCATTTAGGGAATTCAGTGAGTGTATATATGAAAACTTCCCTTGGAGTGCTTCTGCTGACTAAACTAGACTTCTCTTACTTCACAGCGTGGTGAGTGTAGGAACCTCCACTATTTTTTTCTTTCTGGAAGAGCAAAAATATTATTTGGAGTCCTTTCCCTCCTTTTTTTCCACATTGCAGTGTGAATCTTTTCCCTGCCTTTTTTTTTTTTTGTACTTTTTTGTCTTTAAAAAAAGAAAATTAAGACCATATAAGAGACCCATGTTAGGAAATATATTTTTGTGACTCCTAATGTCACAAAGTACAGCGCAAACTGGGAGATGAAAGCACCTTGCAAGGAAGTACCCTTTTCTTTGGAAAAAGAAAACACTGTATTTGAGCTTGGGGAGCTCAGTTATGTTAGGATCACTTATACCTTCTAAATATTTTAAAATAAGCCTATTGCCATAGAGTCTTTTTCAGAAAGACACCGTCTAAAAGGTCTTCGTGGAGGGTGGCATGATGCTTGCTCATAGTAATCAGTATAAGTTCTAGCAAAACCAAAATTAGACAAGTTAGCGGTGCTTTTACAAAACCTCAGCATGAGAGCTATGGAATGAATAAAAACGGTGAGGTTTTCCTCCTCCTTTCTTTTTTAACACCTTGTATAAACCTGTAAATGAGTGTCCAGGCAAGGGATTTCTTAGCTGTCTAAAAGCTAATCTAATCTAAACAGCCTTGCTAAGGCTTTTCCACGCCTCACAGAAAGAAAGAAAGAAAGAAAGAACTTCTGAGACCAGTTCATCCCAACAGTCTTTGACAAGGTTAGCATAGAAAGGGCTTAATCCTTTGCTCCACTGACCCGGAGTGGGCCTAAGTGCCTGGCCTAGACTGTTAACTGGTAACAGTTTGAGATTTCCTCTCTATTCTCCCTCTCTTCCCGAAGTCAGACCAAATTTCAGAAGGCAAGATCTATGCTATGTTTAGGACTTTCCTAAAGTGATGTAGTTTTAAGATATAATAAATGATACATAATTGAACCCAGTGCCGAAGATTTTAATATGTTCTGTGTAAAATAACAGTAGCATCTTAGTAGCGTTAATTTTTCCTGTTCTGGTGGATTTGGTCAGTTTCTGTAACCTGGATGATTAATTCCAGTCCCCCTGCAACTACAAACAACCTTGCAAAAGAGAGGATATTTTCCAAAACCCTTCAACTGACTGATAGATGCATTTTTCAATTTTACACATATAACATGCATCAGGAGCAATAAAAGTTATCACTGACCTAAATCTTGCAATTCAATGCAAAATGAATGAGCAGTCCTTGCCAATCAGGTATAGCAGAGATTTTAGCTTCAAGCCAGCAGTAGTGACTGGACTGACACTCCTGGTGCAGATAATTTTCTAAAGCATCAGAAAAGGTTAAAAAAAATCAAACTCCTAGGAGACCAGTAATTATGCACTGAAGTTACTTTAATTGCTGTCCTTAATCAGGAATCTTTAAATTATGCATGTCATCAACTAAGTCCCTTCTTACCATACAATATGGTCTGTTTTTCTAAAGCAGTTGGTGCCATTCCACTGATTACTTTTTTTTTTTTTCCCCAATAGGCTTGTGCAACACATTTTGAGCTTGAATATTACTTAATTTTGTTTGGAAGAATTTGACCGGTAAAAAAAAAAGGGGGGGGAACAAGAACATCTTGGGAAGAGAACATCTTGGGAAGACACAAGAAATTCAAGTTTCTGCACAGTATCATGGATTCTTGTCAGCACTACTGCAGAGCAGGGAAGTAAGACAGATGCCTTAAGATTCTTTATGTGCATTTTGTGCACACTGAGTTACATAACTGCTACCAAAGGGCCAAATCCTGAAGTGCCCTGCTTGGATGCACAAGGTCCAAAGTGGGAACTATGCATTTCTGTTGCGCTGCGGTGGCAGGGCTGGGGAGATCTGTGGAGACCTCTATCCCCACAGGAAACGTCACACCTTACGCGCTGCAGAAGTCACTTCCACAGCACATCTCCTGCAGAAGGAAAAATAAGGGGTACAGAAAGGGGGGTGGTGGGGGGGAGGGTGGGGAAAAAGGAAAACACAACATAAAGCAGGGCCGGGGAGCCTGGAGTGCAACTACACGTAGCTCCAGATACCAGCTGATGAGAAAAGGGCTGGGTGATGAGGTCCCTCCTCTTCCTCTTAACCAGCCGACCCCGTGATCTGGGTGTTTTGGGGGATTGAGGGCTGCTTGCACTAGCCATGCTTCGGAGCACTGCAATGCCAGTCAAGTAAGAGCCTTTTTACTTGGGTGTTGCTTTTTTTTTTTTTTTTTTGGCTTCAGATCTGAGCGCCCTCATCATTTTAACTTGATTTATTTAACCATATCAAGACTATAACTCAAAAAAGTGAACTTTCTTTTACTTGAAAGAGCATGGATTGTTACTTTCCAGCAATTGCCTATCAGCATACAAAAAAAAATGCCAATCCAAAAAGGAACTAACAAACTATTACATTTTCTGTTAATATCTGTAGTGTTCTGTATGAGGCAGTAAGGAAAGAGCGAAGTACCCCTGAGAAAAGTCTTATTGCAGTTGTGTGTCGTTAGAAAATGGAACTGGAAGAGTACTGCTTTTTATATGGGACTCTCGATGGCTTATAAATACTGTTTTATACTTTTGTTTTATCTTTTTAATAAAGGCACAAGTTTTTAATGGTTCTAAATTACCATTTAAATGTATTTCAAGTACTTAGGAGAAAAACAGTGTTCGATCCTACATTTGTGTTAACACACTGAAACTTTGTATGCTTTAGTCTGCCACTATTCAAGTCTAAGTGACACTGACTGAAATTGCTAAAGGTGAGTGTGTTGTGCAATGGTGTATCCTGTTTGCGAAAGGCAAAATGTGTGTTTGCTATGTGAGGAATAAAGTCCATCCTAAGCTCAAAACCTGCAGCAAACAATATTTTTCTTTCCTACCCTTCTGTCAAGAAGACTGCTAGTTCATCTTGGGGTGGTATTTTGCACCTAGCAGAAATGAAGAATACTGTATTCCTACCTGAACCTTGTCGGATGTTTAGCAGGTACTAATCACAAAATCTAGTCCTTTTGATGCAAACTGGGGGTGGTAGCTGAGCTGGTGATCAGCACAAAGGAAGCTTATTTGCTTGCTCTCCTAGACTGGCTGCTGCTTAAGTCCAGTGTATTTATGGTGGAGATATGAAGGTAACAAGTAAACTGTACGGTATGAAAAAGTATTTTGTCAGGGATATTCTTGAGACAGTACTGATGGTTCAAACCTGCCTGTTTTATAATAGTTGTAAAATGTCTCATCAAACACTGTACTAGAAATAGTGCATTTGCTAATTTTAAAACATACAAAAATCAACAGCTACAGAGTAATCGGAAAGTTTTAGCTTTTTCCCCTTGAAATGTCAGATGAATGTGCTTATGCGAAAGCAAGCTGTGAGCAATATTGATGTGTCGAGCTTGTAAGGAGAGAATGGATCGGCCAAAAAAATTCAAATTGCCATTTGCAGTGTCGAACACTGGTGGAATTGTAAGGGCGGCGGGGGAGGTCTGGGCATCGTTCAGGTTTTATTTCATTGCTGCATTGCAGCCAGGCAAACAAATATATGCAGCATCCTCAGCTAGCAGAACTAGAAACAGAATCCACGTCTCTAAAATGGGAAATCTTACTGATTCCGCAATACAGCCTCTGCTGACTTTGTTTTCTGACCTGAAATGCTCAATATGTCGGTATGAATACAAAGCTACTGCAGGCGAGTATGAGCATAACATGTTTGGTGTCTCGAGTATAGTTAAACTGCAGGAAATACTGCACAGAAACAGACTGGGCTAAATCCTTGGGTGCTCTCTAGCAAGCTGTGGTCTTCTGAACCCGGTTCTTTGGAGTATCTGATGGCCATTTTTGTATGTGTGTGTGTGTGGCTTTCCTTCTAGAGCTGATACTTCTGACATCTTTATGTGGATCACTAATACCCTATTTTATCCCAGATTTTTCTCTAGTTCAGTTGAGAGCAGCAGGAGAGCAGTGTGTTTGGGTGCTTTGGAGGCAGGAGCTGCTGATGGTGTAAAAGCAGGTGTTACTGAAAGGCCACTTTGCCAAAAAGGAAGCAATGAAGGGATTCAAATGTGAACTGCCAAACTCAGCCCTTCGCCCCTTCGGCTCAGCGCTCGGAGCACCAAAGCGCTCACACTTCCCACGAGTGCAGTGAGAAGAGCAGCTCCTGCTCAGGGAGAGGAGAAGCCGGGGAGCCCCATCCGAAAAAATTGTCTGGTTGAGCATGCAGGGCCATGAACAGTTGCATTTGGTGTTTGCCTGAACCTGCTCTCTGTCAGCAGGTATTGGAAATGCTGTGATTGCCACTAAGAAGTAACAGCTCTTAAGCTTTCATGCCTCAAAATAGTTACTATGGCAAGACAGAAGTAGTATTGTAGTTACTGTAGTTTTAGGATAGTTGACATTGGCTGCAATCAAAAATGGTGCTTTAGTATTTCTTACTAAAAATACTATTTCTTTTCTTCAAAAAAAAAATCCACGTGCACACAGCACCCTTTCCCCTCATCAACTATAAACTCCCAGTGTGAGGAGAGAAGCCTCGCACAGGACAAAATTACAGCCTGAAAATTGCTCTTCAAGATTTATGAAGTGTCTTAAGGGGATGAAATAGTCCCGCTGTGGATGAGGCAAGGAGATACGTAATTGGAAAAGAATAATTGAAACCACTTCAGAAGCCTCAGCTAAAGCTTCCTTTTCCTCTTATACAACTGACTCCTTGGCAGACTAGATGGCCATGATTTCTGCTTCTGCCTAAGGCCCATTATGGGGAGGGCGGGAGGGATATGTGTATGTCTCGGTGGTAACTGATTTGGAATGTTGTCCTAAAATTGTCATGGCACAAGTTAGTTACACAATAAGCCTTTAATTGAGAACTAAATCTCCAGAGGGTAATACTAGGGGGAGTCCTGGCCTTCACGATTTGAGTGGAAATTAAGGCAATGCCCTTGTGAAACCTGCCCCTTTGCTGTGGCATGCACAGATGCCAGGCCCCTTTGGGTACACTAGTTGTAGAAACTGGGCATATTTTCCACATACTCCAGAGTTTTCCTAAACTTTTGGGGTAGTTTTTGTTTGTTTGTTTGTTCTCCCCCTTTGTTTGATTCTGTGCGACTCTTCTTCATTGTAAATAACCTTTTGGTTTTGAATTTTTAGCCCAGTACCTTAATTTTATAACCCTTCACCTGTTCAGTACAACATGAAATGTGGTTGCATCGGAGCTCAGCAGAGCCCCAAGAGGAGCGCAAAGGCAGCACTCCCAGTGGAAGGATCAGTCTCCGTGGCAGACGGATCGGACATAAATTAACCAGATCTGGAGCATATTTATTAAAAAAAATACCAACTTCACACTATATGCTCAGAGGACTTTGTCTAAAATCATACATAACTGAGGGATTCAGATTTTTAAGAGGCTCCAAATAGCAGTGACTTTAGCTGTAAATACAGATCAGCAAAAGAATGTCTTCATTTTGTTTTTTCATAATGCCCAAAATACAGTTAGGTGTGCGAGTAAGAGGATCATCTATCCCTAAACAGCACCAAAGACAGCATAGTATTTCTTATAATATTGAACACATTTATTACCCTCCTTTCTATCAATTTACTTTGTATATATAGACTGTTTTTGTATGCTTTTTTCTTAATCATAAAACTCTCATTAAATATACTGAAAATGCAAATTGCAGTTAATTTTAATGCTTTTTTTTTCTGCAGCTATTACTTGAATCTTGTTTCCCTTAAATAGTAAAGTCTGGTGTTTACGAGGTTGCTGTCATTGGTTTTAGGGGCTTTGCCCTTTCTTCCCCCTTCTCCTGCAACAAGATGAGAGCACCCGCTCAGCAGCCAAGCCGGGGATGGAGTTTTGGGATCATCCTTATTGGCACCACAGCATTGAGGTGAAACGCAGGTTCCTTTGTTTACACTGTTCAGTTGACTTTCTTGCTTTGCATGTTCCTTTCTAACCTCTCCTGTTGGATCAGCTTGAGCATTTTTAGAAACTTAAAATCCTTCTGGACTGCGAATATTGTAAATCATGAAAATGCCACAGAAATAGGCAACAGTCCCACTGTTAAAACCATACTCCCCTTTTTAAACCTACCTGAACTAAACGTACCCAGTTATGGCTGCAAATACAGTTGTATTTGACAGCAGCGACCGTCGACATTTTGCATTTGTCACTGTGTCCCTGCTGTTCTGCTTCCACGTGGTTATTTTTACTTGTGATGTGTAAACTTGTAACGAGCTGTGGTTAAGTTTGAAGTGTAAAAGGTAAATATGTAATAATGACACCCTTCCTGTATTTTGTATGCTGCAGGTAGGAATATTCCTATGCATAAAGAAAACATGTTGCCATTTATAGTTCAATACTTGAAGTAACTTTTTAAAATGGGCTTTTATAAAGGAATTAAATATAAAGTCACATTACTTTGCCTGGAAGTTCCTTTATGGTTTTAATTGTATTGTACAATTTCTTCCTATTATACTTTCCCACAAATACTTTCTTATGCCATTCATAACCATGGAAAGGTTGCAATCCAACTTGGATACATTTGTGTTGAGACCTGCTCATTCATCTCTGAATAGCAATTCATGTTTAAGAAGCCCTCTTTTCTGAGGTGATAAGGTGTTAATATCCTTAAGGGGGTGACACGTGATTTCATCAATGAATGCAACATTGTCTTAATAAAAGTATGTGAAATATCCTGCAGATTGCTTAGATTGCATGTATGGAATAAATCAGTGGGAGAACCTGCCTATGCCTACACAGGAAATAGTCTGTATCTGGTGGTGGAAATAACAGGACTTTCACATTCAGACCCCAGCTGCAACAACCCGAGGATTGCACTCACTTTCGATACATCCTTTGGGTCACTTAGTCTCAAGGGAAAGTCAAAAAAAAAACCCGTGGCTATTCTTTTGGGAAGGTGTACACATGATGTAGGAAACAGACTGCACCTCTAAAGAAAAAGTAAGATGTGTTTCCCTTTAGAGGAGAATTGTTCTCTGAGAGTGCAGGAACACACACTGCATTTAAATTAAACATTTTTCCTCCAGGTTTAAGAACTGGAACATTTTATAATCTTCCATTAATTCTGTCCTCATACACATGTAATTTTGTAATGCCTCTCATATATTGATCCTTGCCTAGAATTGAGCGTAATGAAGTGAGTAGTACATAATTCATTAGCGTCCGTTGGGTCCCAAACATTAATTTAATTAACATGGAAGTATCCCCTTTGGAAAGAATGACCAGGAAAAGCCATTCTATCACTACAAGCAGATAATCCCTTTGACCTAGCGCGTATGTTCTCCTAGCTTTTAAAAAACAAATCAGTGAAGCTACAAACCTAGTTTCACCACAAAATCTAGTGCATCATCACAGCACTTGGTAACTCACAGTTTCACAAGAAAAGTAGATGGCAGAGAGCCACACAGCAAACCTCTTTTTCCAATGAGCCAATAATAAGAAAACATCGTCCTGCAGGGCTGCTTTTAATGTAAGATTTCATACAGCACAGCAAAGGTTTTCAGAAAAGTCTTGTTTGCTTTCCACTCCTCTCTGTTACACTGAATACAAAGCCACCGTTAACAGGCCGATCGCAGATCCCACAGTAGCGCTCAACACGTGCAGTACAAACGCCCTGCGTCATTCAAGATGTCCACTTCTTTGACACATTTAAGTGGTCCAAATGATCCTTGATATATCTGTGCTCAGGAAACTTGGATTGCCGCGAGTTTCTGAGAGCTTCCCACTTGGCCCGTCTGCCTTCCGTGTTATGCTTGTATTCCTGTTCCCGGGTCAGGAAAGGGCGGCTCAGCCAATACTCGTTCTCTGCTTCAATTTCCAGCCTCCGGATCATGGCCTGCTTCATTGAAATGGTGACCACTCTCGGCCGCCGGTATTTTCCAATCCATTGCTTTCCAGGAATTCCCTTCCGGAATAATGCTGCTGTTAAAAACATTATACCTCAAAATAAAAGCAAAAAGATATAAGACATCCATTATCTTGAAGGGACAAATTACAGGTTTAAGAAGGGGAGAAAAAAAAAGTAAAAGGAAGAGAAATCTGCACATATTCATTCCTCTGCCTCTTCTCTAACAGTTACAAAGCTTAACAGCTGAAGAACTGATCTCAGCAACTACCCACTATGTACGGTACATACTGAAAATCTGTGACCAGATAGGGGGAAAAAAATCTCAACCAGAGTTTCACACCAGCCAAAAATCCAAACGTTTAACTGTATTCTTTATTACCTCAAATAGCTATGTCTACTGTTAAAAATGGGGTATTTCTGGACTCATCGACGCACAAGTTCTCATCATGGCCTTTTCTCCATATTTAAGAATTTCCGATCAGAGTCCCTACATAATCTTGTTAGCATGTACCATTACCCACTCTCGTTTGTCAAGTGGGTGACATAAGCCTCGCAGAAAACCAGTATCCTCTATAACACTAACTAGCATAACTAAAAATCATTTAAAACGGTTTTCGGGATAATCTTACATGTTAAACCGCCAAGCACTTAAAAGACAGCTGGGAGGGGCCGCCCCGGCTCGCCTCGCCCCCTTAGCACCGTCCAACCCCTCAAGCGCTGGGGCAACGCGGGGCGACTCCCGCGGGAGCCCGCGGCAGCGGGAGGAGCACAGGGCGCCGCGGCCTCCTCCCCGCGCGCGGACTCACCGGCTCCACCAACAACCCCCGCTGCAGCCTCGCCGAGCGGCACGGCCGTTAACGGCTGTCCTCAGGCGCCGCCTGCCTCCCCGCCAGCCATGGATGCGTCGCGGGACTTCTTCGGGAAGCTGCGCGCCTTGGCGCTCACGCTGGAGAAGGAAGCGAGGCAGCTGGAGCAGGCCCTGAACAGAGAGGACACAGGTACGAGCCCGCCTCGCCCCGGGGGAGCCGCCGGGCCTCTCCCTCACGCGGCGAGCGCCTCTGGGCTGTCGCATGGCTGGCCTCAAAGCCCGTTTCCTCCTGCTCCCTTCTGTCGCAGTCACGAGCGCTAAAAGCGCTGCGCGTTGTTGCGCTGAGGCGTCGTCTCCGCGCTTTTTAGTAGTCCCAGTGGTTTGGCTTCCGTGCCGCGCATCGCTCCAGCAGTCCCCGTCGCTCTTCTAAGGGGCTCGGCTTGTTCGGGTGCCGGTCGGACAGGGCTGAGGATCTGCTGCGCGGGGCGCTGCGCCGCGGCGGAGCTTCCTGAGCCGAAAACAGGCGATTACGGGCAAATACTGAGATACCTGCTAGCGTGGTGATGGCGAGTTTTAGTGTGTCATCAACCCCTATCAAGCATTTATCAAATCTATTTGTGTCCCAGTAATGTAGACTTGCTGCAGAGTTTTTTGTTTGTTTGAGGGGCGGGGTTGGGGGAAGAGAAGGGTCTGACAGATGCTGGAGCCCTTTGTAACTGATTTGCTGTTTGTTTCTTTGCTCATTTGATTATTTTTTTTTTCCTGCAAGAGACTTCTTGCTTTTCATAAGTCCTCATGTGGAAATCTATTGTTACTTACTGCTACTCCTGCACACCTTTACACTTAGCTTTATATACTTAGCTGAATCTTAGGCATCAAATAAAACTAATGCTGATCGCATCTAGCTAAAAAAGGCACCTTCACTTTTTCCCCTCTTTATCTTCTTTTCAGTTTTTTTTCTCTCTCTGCATTTTCTCTTTCTAATCAGCTCCCTGTAGAGCTCACAAATGCTCCCGTTTCCCAGGACTTCCGTCTGCCTCCTCCTTAAATAGATGTTGTCTAAGCAAAAGCATGCATCTTTCTTGCCTCCTTAGCTGGTGGACATCCAGACCTGTTTGTAAAGTGGATTCTTTTGGCAGAGAAATTACACCTTTCCTAGCATCTTTTTGCTAGGAGAGAGACAGAAGAGAGAGAGGAAGAAGTAGAAGATTTTGTCCAGGGCGTGATCCCAACTTTTGGCTTTGTTTGCCATATTCCTGTCTTCGGGTTGCTTCCAGAGAGGAGACTGGGAAATAAACTTGGGAGAGAAAAATTTCCTAAAAATAGGAGGGCAGAATATAAAAATAATTTGACCTAATCATCATATTTTTAATTAAGATAGCTACTACGATGTTCTTTTTTTTTTTTTTTTTTTTTCCTCCTTTTTCCTGGAATCTCCTTGTATCCACCTAATAGATTTCTTGATGTATTTGGGAGAAAAATCTTGTACATGTTCCTAGTCTTCACTTGGATTTGCTTCCTTTGTATTTCCTCATGGATGGGCCAGGATCCATGTGCAGATGCAGACCTTGGAGTCCCTTGGGCCCTGGAGGGCAGAGGGCCCTTTGGACCCTAATGAGTGGGAGAAACGGGCTGATAAGAAGTGTGTGAAGTCCAACAAGCCTGGCCCTCCACTGGAGCCCTCCTGTGCAAAGAGAACAAGCTGGGGACCACCAGCCTGAGGGGAAGCTTTGCAGAAAAAAAGATCTTTGATCCTGGTGGGCTAACTTGGGATGATCCTAGAGGGCTGCATTAGCAAGATATGAGCCAGCAGCCAGAAAAGAATTGTTATCCCCCCTCTGTTGGTGCTCGTCAGGCTGCACTGGGTTTGGACCTTGTAGAGCCAGAAGTTGTGCAGGGTCCAGAGGGGATGGAGCTTGGGAGACACAAGGGGATGGGGAGGGCACTGGGGTTTTTCCAGTCTGCCAAAAAGGCATCCAAGGGGACTCTGATGGCAGTCCCAGCTGTGCAAAGGCAACTTCCAGAAAAGTTGGAGCCACACTGGATTGATAACTGTCTATTTTATTGTCTGCTTTGCCATATCTTATCACATAGCTGTTTTTTCCCCTTTTATAATATATATTTGTGTTAACCTCAATTTCTAGCGAAGTAATGTCTGCTTTTGACTGTTGTGTGTTTAAATGTATAATACTAACAGCTTCATGGATGGCAGAGAAGTTGGGAAAATTCAGCTTTTTATGATATGTTTCAGGGGTGTCTTATCACTCCCCCTCCTCTTAATAATAATTAAAAAAAAAGTCAAATTCATTAATGGTTTAAAATTTAACAAAAATCGTCATTTACAGTCTTGAGTCCTACCTATTGTACCCACATCTAACATATATTACTTTTTACAGTATGAGCTGAGACAGTAAAGTGGAAGTCTGTGAGTCTGTGCAGTTTTGTCTGTGTAGTTTAACATTCTGTGCAAATTGTAGTCAAACGATATGTGAACTACAAGCTAGTTCCTTTGCATTTTCTTTCTCCTGTGACTGTAGGAGATCCCACACTGTACTTGTCAGTATGTATTTGTCAGCTAAAACACAATCCTCTTTTTTTCCTTTCAAAACCCCCTTTTTTTTTTTTTTCTTATGTGAATGTGTATGTCAGACTATGAAGAAGAGTCTCCAATACGAGTCCTACATGACCTGCATTGTGACCTGCAGGCTCTCAAGGTAACCTCTTAAGCTGTTTGCTTGAAAAAATGATGGGAGAAGAAGAGTTGCATAAACTTATAACTATACTTTAGATACTGCCATACAATTTTAGCAGTCGACAGTTCTGACCCTAGTTTTCATTTGTTTACCTGTAAGTCCTCATAGTGGTTCTGGGAGTACCAGGCAGTGCCCAAGAAAGGTTTAGTATCATTTTGAGGCTTATCTGTCTCTACTAATTTATTGTGGCCAAGCAGTGAAAATCAAAAATAAGTTTTTGTTTGTTTGTTTTTCTCTTGCCCTCTTTTTAATGGAGTATATATTTTTGAGAGGATACTAGTAAGTAGTTATTCTGTGAACTGTCTAATTTCTATAAATTTCTGTATACTCATGCCCTACATATTCCTGGTACTTTTTAGCCTAGTTTCAGGTATATAGACAAGACCCAAATTTTCTTGTCTATTCTCATATGAAGTTCAATAGCTATTCTCAAGCTCGATTTGGAAGTTCAGTGGTGATTTGAAAACCCCTATCTCTGTCTTCCCCTTACCTCAAAAGAGAGATGTTAACGCCAGGTTGGAAAAGAGCTGCTCTGAGAGGCAAGAAATTCATGACTTTATGAAGGCAAGTAAAATATTAATGCAAAGAAATGCAGCAGATCTTGGGAAAATAAGAGAGCTGTTCCAGAAATATGGCTGTAAGCCACCTGTCTTCACAGGTAACTTTTTTTTTTATCTTGAGTAATATATACATTTAGAAAACATGCTAGCAAGTATATTTTAGTAACTCTGAGAATCACCCTGTTTGAGCTTCTTGTTTGTGAGAGACTATGGTAAACTTATCTAAATTAGTTTGTATTTTTAAGTTACTCCATTTACACAAACCAACATAAAAGAAACTTTAATATGTTTTATACCTTAAGTGGGACAAGATAACCACATACAGGACTTTGGTGATAAATGGTAGCCCATTAAGCTCTGGTAGCTTGAGTCGGGGGGAATCATTAATTCAGCTATAAAGAGCAAACTCCAAATTCATAATATTCCTAAAATTGAGATATTTGACATATTTTATTAACTCTCATCAAACAGATGAGGAAGAGGAAAATAACTGTCAATCAAAGGTGCCTGTCCAGAATAAATCTGATCAAGAGAAAATAGATGATGATCCTCATCTTCCTGCTTGCATGGAGAAGCCACCAGTTCCCAAAGACCCTCTGAGCAACCCCCAACTTTCTGATTTTGGGCTTTCACAATATGCCTTCTCCAGGACTTGGAGTACAATGAATGAACAACACGCAACAGATATACATCAAGAATATCCAAAAACCAGGACTCCGTTAAAAACACAGACCCCGTCTATGTTGCCCAAAACACCTAAGTGTATGCTAAGGATGGATGACTATGAGTGTGTAACACCAAAACTTGAACACTTTGGCATTAGTGAGCATACTATGTGTATGAATGAAGACTATACAATGGCACTCATCCATAAAACTACTGAGACAAGCAAAAAGTAAGTAAGAAAACCCCCCAGGTTTTCTATAGTTTTCTATAGAAAATATAGAAATATATATAGTTTCTACATAGTTTTCTATAGTTCCTTCTTGCTTTGCTGATTTTTTGCTGCTATGTGGCTGCCTTGAAGAGCAGGGGCTCAAGGTTAAGAACCAGAAGCAACTTGTAGCTACAAGCATATATACAGCCCCCAAGCGTGCACTGTTCCCCTGCTGTTCCTGTGCTCCCTTCCCCACCTCACCAGCCAATCCCTTGACTCTATTGTTATCTGGGTCCAGTCCTGTTAATGGCCACAAGGCAGCCAATGAGAGACGGATGCGTCCAGAAGCTGTTCCTGTTTTTCAGGTTCCCCTGGTCTGCCTGGCTGGTCTTGTCCAGCTGGCTCCTCTGGGAGTAACCCAGTGACCCCTTACTTACTTTTACAGTACCCCACATCTCCCCATTTTTGTTTTCTAGCACCAGGTGTAGTTAAGGGCCCAAAACACAATAGCCAAGGAGTGGGCTCTGGCAGTACTGTAAAACCTCCCAAGAGTCTTTTATGTTCAGCAACTTCTTCCCTTTCCCCTTTGATGGTGGTGACTAAAGTTGCATCTTTCTTTAGAGGCCATCATAGTTCTTTCCACCAAGGCATATATTAATTGTATGAGATTGAGTAAGCGCATACAAAGGACTATGATTACAGTTAGCACTATACATCCCATTAAAAATATTTGAGTCTGGCCGTCATGTGTGCCAAGGGTCGAAGGTGTCTAGTCCATCATTCACACGGAGTTGTGACGTTAAGGCTTTTAAGTCTTGTATACTTATGGTTGGATTCGTTCATACAGCACATTCCATCAAAGTCCTCACACCCATGCTCTTGTGCTAACAGCAAAAAATCTATGGCAGCCCGATTTTGTAGTGTAGCAAGGCAGACCAAATCTATATCAGCTAGCCAGCCCACTAAAGCAAGCATCGTTGCGTTTGTTTGTTTAGCAAGCCAACATCCTAGTTTTGCAAGCTTATTATGAGGAGCAGCCACTGCTACTCCTGGTGTAATAAAGGAAGCCACAATAATCACTGCAGGGCTCCAGAAGTCCACCTGAGAATTGCGCTCCTTATGAAATGCTTGGCTTAACCTCTTTACGTGGTGGTAATTATGGAGCCTTGTGTGATTGAGAATTGTTGCTATCTTGGGGTAAGTATTGTTAATCTGCTGCCAAAGTGCAAGGACAACCTTTTAAATGTGATGGGATAGCCCCCATGCCTGGTCCCCATGTATTAGAAACATGCCTCTAGGCAGTGTTATTGGGGCATTGCTAGTGTGAAAGGCAGGACTTCGCGACGGGTGATCGTCCACCCCAGATATTGCCATGGTGCTACGTCTTGAACCTTATTGGGAGCGACCACCAGGCCTTCTCGAATCACCTCCTTTATCAGTGTTTTCATAACAGTCTCTAGCTCCATAGCTGTGCTGCAGGCGATTAAAATGTAATCCATATAGTGAAAAATAATCTCATCCTTGTGTTGTATCCGCACAGGGCTCAATGCCTTTGCCACGAACTACTGACATAGGGTTGGACCGTTCTCATACCCTGCAGCAGTACTGTCCACTGATGCCATTGGTGCAGTTCCGCTGTGTTTATGCTCGGTACAGAAAAGGCAAATTTGTCTGAGTCACTGGGATTCAATGGGATCGTGTAAATACAGTCTTTCAGATTGATTATTTTTATTCACCAAGCTGCTGGAATCGTGGTTGGTGATGGTAATCCTGGCTGTAGGGCTCCCATATCTTCCATGGCCTCATAACTTTACGTAAATCATGCAGTAATAGCCATTTTCTGTTTTTCTTTTTAATAACAAACACTGGTGTGTTCCACAGGCTGGTGGACAGCCGAAGGCGGCCTTGACACAGGTGGTCCGCAACAAGTTTGCAAAGGTGATGCAGCTTCTCCACAGGGAGAGGCCGCTGATCCACCCGCACTGGCGTGTCCGTGAGCCACCTGAGGGCAGAGTCAGCTTCGCATCAGCGGCCCCCAGGGAAAATGCAATGTCGCCCCCCAATGTCCAAGAACATCCTGGTCCCAGAGGAACACAGGAGCAGGCAATATAATCTATATGGGTGTAGAATTGCTACCCGCCTCTTTTTTCTGCATTACTTTTGAGAAAGAGGGGAAAGCTTTAGAACCTCTCTCGTATGGAACAGTTGTCAGCACTTCAAGGAATATTTCTCTCGATTGTACAAGTGCCTCTGCTGGGCATCATACTCGTATTGCAGGTTGTCGATATATTCCCTCTCCTAACAACATATCAGTACTAACCCCTCGCAGAACCCGATCTTGAGATTTTAAGTTATCCAAAGCTTTTATGTTAGCCAACTCGCCCGCTTCTTGGAGCCCGCCACCTGTTGCACTGGAGTTAATATTAATTGAAACAGCATTTTGAAATCATCAGCAACCAGCCAATGGTCCTCTGAGGTACCCCAAATTAGTGCTTGAGTATAGGATGCTTTGAATCCATATTCTGTCACAGCCTTTCATATTTCCTTAATAAGTTCGTACTGAAGCAGCGTATGCTGTGCGCCACCTTGCCAATCAAAAAGTACTGGGTATGCACTTATTCCCTGTTCTGCTGCTTTTGCCACATCAATCTCACTGTCCTGCAATGCCTCATGCCTAACCTCCGCCCACGGATTTTCATTTTTTTTCTATTTTCTCTGCTCGGCTCCACTAGTGGTGTCACCACAACCTCCTTCAGCTCACACTGAGCCTGGCGGAGGTGGATAAGGTGGATAACAGTCCTCACAGCGCAAGGGTAGCAGCTTTGAGTCTCCTGGCGGTAGCGGTGGGGGAGGAGTCACCTCTATCCTTTTCTGATGTACCCATGTATTTTTGCAACGCCTCATACACAACTGCCACAGGTGCAATATTGATGAGACTGTTAAATCCCCTCGGGTAGCCCAATCCTACAAAAGTACAGCGAACCTGCCCAAAGCCGTGGGATTGTATACTGTTGCTTCACTTAAAGCATTACAATTCTCCAACTCCCAGTTTAAAAGATGAATCAAATCCCCCGGTTGGATCTTCTTTCCCATCCCAAATTTATCCAGGATGTGCTGCATAACCTGCAGTACCCTTTCTTGCTCTTTGGTCATGGATTCCCCCCATGGTTCTTGACAGCCAGGCTCCTACCCTGCAGATTTCTCTGCCCGTAGATAGAGCTTCTGTAGATAGAGTTACCGGTTGCGATTGCAAGACGTTCTCTCCCGTCTGTCCTGTCGAGCTTGCTCCACCATACGATCTTCCCCGATTGCCTGTTCGTGTCCCTGTCCGGACACCATTTCTGGATGCCTTGAAGAGCAGGGGCTCAAGGTTAAGAACCAGAAGCAACTTGTAGCTACAAGCATATATACAGCCCCCAAGCATGCACTGTTCCCCTGCCGTTCCTGTGCTCCCTTCCCCACCTCATCAGCCAATCCCTTGACTCTATTGTTATCTGGCTCCAGTCCTGTTAATGGCCACAAGGCAGCCAATGAGAGACGGATGCGTCCAGAAGCTGTTCCTGTTTTTCAGGTTCCCCTGATCTGCCTGGCCGGTCTTGTCCAGCTGGCTCCTCTGGGAGTAACCCAGAGACCTCTTGCCTATTTTCACAGTGCCCGCACTGCTATTGCCTTTTTTTTTTTTTTTTTCCTCCTCCTTCTGCACTGTTTCCTTCTGTGATTGTTATTGCCTTCTAGGAAGGTAGTCCTGTGTTTATATTCAACTCTGCATGTTTGTCCAGATCCAGTTTGCAGTGCCAAATACTACTATGATGCTCATATTGGTTATACTCCTTCCCTTCACTGTACTAGTCTAAAAATTTCCTGTACACAGTCTGTTTAAACTGGAAAAATGCAAAGTGTATCTGTCATCTTTTCATTTCCCTAACTTCAAGGTTTTTAAAAGCTGTAACAATGTAGCAATGAAAGGAACTTCATAAGTGTTCACTTCAATGCCTTAATAAAGAAACACATTGTAATCTCTCTTACATTACTCAAAGCCGCCTAACGAGTTCTTTTTCCTTCAGTCAGTCTACTTCTGTTGAAAAAACTTTTTAATTTTCACAGCTCTAATGAAAATTACAGAAAGTTTTTTAACCATTGCAACAATAAGGGCTAGAGGGCCTTAATGGCAGGAATATTTTTCTGTCCTTCTAAAGCAATATAAAAGTAAATAATGCTTTTCAAATTATTATTAGAAATATATTGAATTATGAAAGTTGACACTATTTAAGGGAAATTTTCTGTTTTGCAGCTTAGTATTTGGGTTTAAAGAAAAATTGCCACAAAATAACCATATTTAAAAATTTGTTGAAATAATTACAACTAAAAAAACCTCTGGTAGTTGCAATAGACACTGTAGTGTGGAAAATCTTCTGACCTTCGTGCCTTTGTGCACCTCAGTGGTTTCCACCTGACAGGATCTAACTTATCACAATAGATTAAGGTCACTCAGTTTTCCTTTTAAAGGTCACTGGAGTTAAATTATTTAAAATGAAAAAAAAAAAAACAGCAATCCAATCACCATAAAATAAGTTCTTTCCAGTAGCTTTGTCGAGCTACTGTTGTTAATTAGAATTTTACCAGCAACAGTCAATTCAAAATAAAATGGACTGTCCCTGTAAGGCATATTTGAGCATTTGGGACAAGAAAGTTGATCCTATCTTGGACTGTTTATTTGTTTAATGTATTGGATTAAATTCTCTGAGTATTTGATAACATGTGGCTGGAATGAGACACTTGCATGCTACAAATTGCAGCAGTAGAATTGGAGATTATAAGTTATTTGCAGAAAAGAATTTAGTCCTCCATGTTGATTTACAAATAGGAAAGTAATCAAGTTGCCAGTATTCTTTTGACTGTGATTTTTTCAAACTGTTTGGGAGTTAACTGTGGGTTTTGGCATTTCACTTCAGCTTGCCTAAGGAAGATCCTCATGAAGGAAGTTTAGCAGAAATGTCACCCAAGAAAATCATGGTTACTCCTGGACCAAAAACAAACAAGATGGATGGGAATGGTAAGTTGGAAGTAAACAAAATACATCAGCAATTTTTACGCGCCACATCTGTTGATACCTTTTAAACTCTATTTAGTGTAGATTGTTAATGAAGGCCCAGTTATTATTTGGATATTAAATATTCTTAAAATTAATAAGTAGAAAAGTTGGTGGCTCCTATGGGAATTCTTTTTGCTTCAGTATAAACTCCATGTATTCTTCTAATATCCATTTTCCATCTAGAACTATCTAGGGGGATCAGTCACTTTATGACTGCAGCTTTTCCTCATTTATAATGAAAACACTCTTATGCCAACTTAGATCTAATGAAAATTCTTGGGAGGGAAGAAAAGTCTATTTAAAGCTAAAAAAAAAAGTTAAAAGAAGGAGAAAAGAACTACTTTAAAAGAGTTTAACTGAACAGTAAGACCTTTCAAGACAGATCTGCATTTTTTTGGGAGGGAGAGGGGTATAATAGATTCTGTTGAAAATAAATGAAGGTCTCAGAACAAACATCTTGATAGCTGTGTATATGAAAACTAAAGAAATGTTGATCTAGTGTTGATTTAGATTGGACTTTTTCAGTTATGTGGAGTAATGAGACTAGATTTTTGCTGTTCTTCCTGGCTTTTGTTGCTCTTAAAGTAATTTATATGTTTGTACGTAATTTGGAATTTTTTTTGTGCCCAGCAGCTGATTATATGGCTTCCCCTGCGATACCTGTGTTCTGCACACTGGGTGTGAAAATCCCTTCCAGATCTGATGGCTGGGCATTGCCAAAAACAGCAGAGACAAATGAAATAAGTCTTCCTAGTCATACAGGAACACCAGTACTTCCAGATTTTGAAACAAGATGGCTAAAAGTAGAAGCTAAGGTAGTAAATAACAATGACAAACTAAGACAGTAAATAAATTGATATATATTTTTAACATGTTTTTAGCGTAATTGCAGGTTTTAAAACATCAGACTGGGATTCTTTTTCCATATTACCTTTTCTTATGTCATTGTAGAAAATATTTCCAATGGCAATCTTGTAAGAATGCTTATTTAATACTTGAGCAAAATAACTAAAAGTGTTTAAAAGCTCTTATGGAGGGGAATTATGTAAAACCTCTTATGTAATGCAGGGGGAAAAGCCTGAACTGGTGGCAGAAAATGATGCAACAAGTAAGCTATACATAGAAGAAGCCATTCCGTCTGCTGTAAGCTCTGACGAATATCTTAAACATTTTGAAGACCCTTCTCCTCCCAAAATAAAGGATTACGAACATTTAATTAATACTCCTCCAGTGCCAGAAATAACAAGAATACCAGATGATGTTCTACAGGTCAGTTAATTTTGTTTTGTTTTGCAATAACTTTAATATCAAAATAATATTAAAAGGGCTTACTTTATCAAATTTTGCTCTTCAAAGAGAATTGTTATGCATTTTCAACTAAGTAGCAATCACAACCCTGTTTTGAGTTTCTATATAATTTTTTTTTTCTTTCTTGATGTTTGATGTAGCTTCTATCAAAGTATAATCAAAAAGCAGGCTCTCCTAAAGCCAAGAAGATGGAGACCAAAGCAGGAAACACTACAAGATATGAAAGTGATTTCACAAATTATTGCAACAAAGAGAACAGGTATGATTAAATTTTAAGAATATGGCTAAGTAATTGCATCTGGAGGAGTTATGGAAGACGCTTTAATGCATTTGAGAAATTCATGCAGTTTTTGATTCTTCAGCTGTCCAAATGATTCTGAGATAAATCAATCTTTGGCATTCTGACTGCCTTCATTGTAAAGAACAAATATTATAATTGAATCCTCCCAAGTTAGAAATCAAATGAAATTAGAATTTTACTGTGTTATCTGTAGGCATGTTTTGCTTTGTGGCAATCAAAGCCCTAGTGAATGCCTTGAGCTTTTTTCTGATTAAATTTAAGCAATTAAACTAAGATATGGGGGTGGAGATAACTACATAAATGATGCAGCAATTACACGATCATTTTAACAAATACTAAGTTATCTGAAATACTTCATAAACAATATGTGAGATGTAATTAGCCTACACTAGATATGAATAATCTTTGAATAATGGAACATAAGTTTTAAGAACAACTGCTACAGAATTGAAAGAAGATGTTGGAATCCCTTTGAATAACCAAATAGAGCAAAGCTCTTATTTAGCTGACTCTCTTTTTTTCCTCATTGGACGAGACACTTAAAGCAAGTTGGCAAAGTGTGCTTATTCTGTTAATTTAAAATATTATTGACATGTTAAACTTATGAACTCTTCTGACTACATTTGCAGAGGATACTGAACTTACTAAATGTAATGTTTGAAATCAAGCTCCAGGACCATGCTGAGCCTGTTTCACATTCATGGAACTTATCACTGAGTTGTAGCAAATTCACAAAGCAAAAGTCAACAGAAAACATCGGGGGAGGGAGCGGTGAGAAGGTAAAGAACCATGTAAAGGAAAAAGGCCTCTCTGTGGAGAAAGCTTGATGTGGATCAACTTGTTAAAACTAACAACATGGTGCTTAAATTTTTATTTGAAATTACTGGTAAAAAATACATTGATTTCAATATGTCTGTGCTTCAGAGAGAACTCAGGCCATGTACTCCTTAGTACTTCTATTAGTGAATTCTCTTGTTCGTGTGTACGTTTACATCTGCAGTAGGCTGCAGAGATATGTGATTATGTTACAATAAAGGAAATGTCCGGTATGTTGCCTTAAAAAGTGAGTCTCTCCAAATGTTCTAGAAAGACTGTATTTCTTCTCAGGGCTGAGTTTGAAGTGTGTTATTTCAGCGCAAATGAAAAATTTCTTATGTGAAAAGTAACTTTTAGGACTTCTATGATATTTGTCATTTATGCAATAGTAAGGGTTGTCAGACATGTTATTTCGCCAGGCTCTCTATTAATCATCTGATTGCCAAGCATGAGACATGCTCCTCTAGCAACTATGTTTTATTGCATGGACATCATGTTAGGTACTAGGCATCTGTGTCCCTTTGGACAGCCAAATGGTGACAGTCTTGGACACAATTTATTTAAAAATATTGTGCCATGGTCCTGGTTTCATACGCATGGTGTCTCTGGCTGCTGGGAAGATTTGAGGGCGTGTAGATGATTGCTTAATTCTCCCCCAGCCTGTTGCCACATGATTTCCTTTGGTGGTGGTGTCACTTCCAATAACACAAATACCTTCCTTTAATAGCTGACCAAACTTCAGCTCTCAAAACTGCTTGGTGCTTTCTTGGCATCTATTAGTCATAGCAATTGGCACTCTTTTCCATCGGGGTAATCCTATCCAAATAAATCCTAAGTTTTTGTCCTTGTTTGGAGCCGTTTTCCCCACACCAGTGTCATCTCTCTACGATTCGTTTGAGTAACTCCAGTACTGTTCTTAAGTAGTTGCATGTGGTCTTCTCTTGACTTAAAATTTCATTACTCACATATGGGATGAGAATGGGCTTACTGGCCCAGGAGCTGGGGAGAAGCGTGTGCTGTCCTGAGCCTTCTGAGTGCTGCTTCACGTCCTTTAAATCCTGAGGACATGCAAGCATCCGGAGAAGCCTGGAGCTTAAAAGGACTTGCCCTGGCTAAATCTCACAACTACAGGAGACTTTTCCCTGCCATTCTAGTCACTTCGTGGGATGAGTATAGGTGAAGTTAAGTGGAAAATCTGATTTTTTTACTAGTTAGAGCTGGACACACTGTCACATTTCTGTGTTTTTGTGGGTTTTTTTAAGCTTTTCCTTAAAAATAATATGTGTTGTATGCCACTTCCTGAGTGTGATCAATGCCTTGAATGCTAAGTAAATTTCTTGTCTCAGATGCTGTGTGGCTTCTTGGAAAAATCAGATTCCACTGTAATAAACTAACTTGTTCTACCCTTCACCAAACAGTGAAGGTTAGACCTACCTCCAGCATCTTCATAGGTGAACAACTGCTTTGTAGGAGATACACTGAATTTCCTGCAAATTATTTTTGCGGGTGCGAATTACTTTTGAGAGCAAGAATATTTGAGCAGGAGGGAGTTCACAGCCTGCACTCGCCCTACCCAGCACCCCATGGCTCTTTAGGCTCCAAAAGAGCTGCTAAATGGAATTACCCAATTTGTCTAAACTTGAGAACAACTTTGCACTAGATTCTTTCTAGACGGACTAGTTTTTTAGTTTTAGTTTTTTAGTAATAGCTAGGCTGTAGTTTGAGTATTGGGGGTCAGTCCTGCTAGTTCTGTAGGGGGCAATATGGCCTGAGAAGTTGAGTCAAGATAGAGTTGGGTGTTATGTTTAGTTTAGTCCAGCTGGAGGCTGCCTTTTTTAGAGACTGCTTCACCGGCATCTAACTGGGAGGCCGTGCAGTTTTACCATGGATTAGTTCCATCTGAGCCACTGAGAGGCCAGTATCTTGGTTTCTTTCCTGTTTCTCCTCCCTGTGGAGATCGATGAGCTCAAAGTCAACTTCTGCCTGCATGATCAGATGCAAGGGAAGGGTGAGAATGGATCATATCCTGCAGTGGTCACTTGCAGTAAGAACCGATTGCCCATAGCATGAAATTGCACTTCTGTATTTAGAAACATCTGGGCAGTAACCAAGAGAGTGGCTGCCACCTTTCCTTCATCTATTGCATCAGTCTTAATCTCTTTGCATTTGTTTCATTACATGAAATGTGTCTGCTAAGAGAAGTTTCTCTCATCAACCACACTTAGCCTAAAAGGAATGTCTCAAATTGTTCTGGCCAGGAAGCCCCTTAAAGCAGCAAATGCTTTGTTATCTTGGGAATATTCTGCCTGAGGTTAAACACAAATACAGATCTCACAGTGAAATTAAATTTCCCAGATGGTTGTCAAGTGAACAAATGACAAGCATGGCTTTTATTGCCTCCTCTCTGCTTTTACTGATATTTTTATCAATTACTGGAGCAGTAACGAGAGTCCAGACTAGTTATTTATGGATGTTTTAAATTTTCTATAAATGTCAAATTTGCTTTGTTCTCTTTGGAAAACCCCTTGCTGTTCTTTGCCCATAAGAGCATTCATGGTGGTAGCATGTGTCCCAGCCGCCTCTCTAGTTGATGTTGGAGCTGCCCTGTGTTTGGGCGTATCGTTCGCAGTCCTGTGCCTTGTTTCTCTAGGGGGGAGCAAGAGACCTCACCTCTCGAGAGGAGCAATGACAACATCCTGGGGCTGCAGCGTGCAGTAACATGTACCCTAGTCCCCAAAAACCCACCTTCTACTAAGGCATCAGTCACCCCTGGCCATGTTATCTATCAACTGTGAAACTTGGTCTTATTCTTAGGACTGTAGCCACTTTAGCAGAGAGGCAGTTGAGATGAGAGTAGAGCAAGCTGCCCAGGCAATTAATTTATTTGACTTGAGAACACAAGAATAAGTAAGCTGAAAGGTTTAAAAGCGTGTGTGTGTGTATATACATACATCTACATATATTTGTGTGTGTGTGTGCGGGCACAGGAAAAACGTTCTAGGAAAGGTGCAGTGCTGCACTGGCATTGCTCCAGGGAGAAGTGAAGGTGAGTTGTCTTATGGCTGAATACATAGGAGGAAAGTGCTCAGATACTGTCCCAATGTTGGGCATGGTTTGTTCCTGGTTTAAGCCGTGCAGTTGTGTTCCCGCAGTTCAGCTTGTGCAGTCCTTGCAAACCTGTCTCAGGCCTTGTTGCCTGCCTTGTTGCCTGGTGCCACCCTTCTTTTCCCTCAGGTACAGCACTGCACACCCTTCGGTGCATCAGGGCAGTTACTACTGGGGCAGCTGGATAAGCCAACCACCAGTGGCTAATTGTTGTTTTGCGAAGATCCTTGATGGAGCCTGCAAGGTGACCCAAATCCCAAGCAGGGCTGGGCTCATGCAAGAGCAGAGATGAGGCTGCTGTTAGGCCATGGTTGCTGCAGCAATGCTTGAAATGGTTCCCTCTTCTCCCCACCACCCCTCACTCCTATTCCAGAACCCACATCCCCCCCTGCTACACCAGCTGCCCACGTGGTTGGGTATGAACTGGACTTGAAGGGACAGACCTGCCCCGGGCAGATTGGTTCATCCCTGCCCATGCTGCCTACATCTGTACATGTGTGTGTGTATAAATATACATACGACAACAGGGTGCTGCTGAGAGCAAGTTCAAGCACTCTGGGCTGCCTTCCCCTGCCCCACGCACCCGCCTCCTCCCTGCTGACCCTCCGTGTGGGCTCTTGAACAAAACGCAGTGAGCGCCGGGCTCCCCAGAGCCGCCCGGGCACCCGGCCTGCACTGCCACCGCTATCCGCCTCTTCTGTGACAAGAATTGGGACCAGACGCAGCTCGCGCTTTTGCAGCTGCTGTGCAAGAGGGAGGGCGATTTCCAACCCACATGCCTCACTGTTGTCTTTTCTCAGAGGAATTGCTGTGTGTTTTCTGTCTTTTTTTTTATTTAAACCCAGCTGATCTGCTGTAATGTCTAGACACAGGGGCTGAGACAAGAGCAGCAGTTATTGAATCTCCCTGGCTTTGGCAGCTCCCATCTTAGCTGGTGCATTACATTAAAGCAGTACTTTGTTCAACAATACCATAACTGTTCTTATTGATTTGTTCTCACATATTGGGGGGGTCTGAGGTGGTGTCCTGAAAT